TCCTGATTGGTGGAATTGGCCCAATAGCCGTAGCGCCACTTCTGTGACGTCATAGAAATGTTCAAATCTGGATCAGCCTGTATCAGATCCGTTGCAGCCCCTTTTTAAGAGATTTGGGTATGGAGGAAAATAGAGAGGGTTGTGTTTTCTGACACTTGGTGAGTTCCCTGGAACACCGGGGACTCATATTCATGTATAAAAGATGTACGAAAGTGCATTTTGCNTTGGGAACGGAGGAAAAGAGAGAGGGTTGTATTTTCTGACACTTGGTGAGTTCCCTGGAACACCGGGGACTCATATTCATGTATAAAAGATGTACGAAAGTGCATTTTGCATGATAGGTCACCTTTAAATTGTGCTAACTAGCTTACACACATAAACCAAATAATGACAAACTAATGCTGTTCGCCAACTTTCCTCTACAGACAAGCTCAAACTGTCCATATATTTTCCATTTATTAAATATAGAAATGATTAACTTTCAGTGTCCTTTTGAGCATGTTGCTTAAAGTCCGTGAACAATCAGAAGAGCAGCAGTGGGGACATTGTTAAGACGGGCTTCCCCACTGGGCCCCTGCCCTCGGAGAACATTTGGCATGAGGAATGAAAAGAGGAAGGTGAAGTCACTCACTGTCATCATCCCCTCCATCATTCCAGTCTCAGCTTTAGAGGGAGCCTGCAGCCGCTCCATGGCCCACCTCTCCACCACCGAGGCCACCTGCGGGCTGTCTATGTTGAGCAGTCTGAAGCCCGTCATGTTGACCCCACTATAGCGGTACGGCTCCAAGTCGAGGGCAAACAGGTCCTGTAGAGGTACAACATCATCAGCAAGGAATCCATTTGATTCTACTAAAAATTACCCACAAGTAGATGTAAGTTACTAAGCAAAGGCAAAGGGACTGTTGATTAAAACAGAGGAACAATATACTGCATAATACTATGGAATTATGCCAAGTGCACTGAAAACATCCAGCAATCTTGTTATAAAACAAACCACAGATGTTTGAGTTCATCTGCATAATCTTTGCATAACAGAATCGCTAGGTGCCTACACACATTTCAGCTTGGATAATAAGATACTTAATTAAGACAATAGAAAAACTGTAGTTAAGAGCATGTCCATCAGGTTTTCAATTAAGTTTCAGAGAGAAACTCTTTCCTGTAAATATAATGTGAAATGTTTTCTTACCAGTGTGGTGAAGAAGAAGTGGTAATATTCAGTCATCATCCCCATGGACAAGATCTAAACAGGATGAGAAATGAACGGTTCATAGTTTCCCCCCCGACTACATAATCATGTTTTTCTCCAGCCAGCATAAAATATATTTTCTTTCAACCACATCCATACCAAGAGACTTGCAAATTAGGCATTCCAGCCATTTCCTGAATTGCCTCATTTAGTTTTGTTTGCATGGTTTGGATTAACAAGTTTCCAAGTGAGTATATGTCACAATTTTCTCATGGAGGCGTAGTGTTTCCAATTAATCTTACATGCAGCTTTTGGTTTGAAATGTCTATGTCTGGCTCAAAAATAAGCTCTGCTTGGATCTGGAAATGATCATCAGATTTCTAAAGGGGATAGAATTACACTAATCTTGCACATAGTGAACATTACACAAAAAAGCACTGAAGAAACACCAAAATAACACAGAAACTTCTCTCCACTGAATAATTCAAATTGGATTTCAAAGAGCACGTTGTATTTTGGGTGTCAAGATGTCAATTAAACCCTGAGGCCCTCAGGACAATGACCTCTGTCCAGTGTGGTGGCAGATGTTTGGGATAATTCACCTGTTTGAGAACATCAGCTGATGTTTGGTAAGAGCAGTCAAAGATGACGTAGAACTCCTTTCCCTTCTTCATCTCCTTTAATAGAGGACGGGCATCTTTACTTCCTGTTGGCAGCTGGCGGATCTTGATTTTAATGCTGTATCTGGATGGAGCTTTGATCAACTCTTGCAAACGAATCAGTCCTTAAATTAAAAGATAGCAAAATTGTGATTAGGGTCAACAAGCAAATATTTACAAAAAAACAAAATCTGGATAGTAGGTTACTCCAATACATGGAAGTAAAACTATGTGATTAAACATAATCAGATTTTGATTGTCTTTGAGTGTTTAGGTTTCATGGTTTTGAAATTGCAAAAAAATGCATCTGCTTCAGTGACTGGGTTATTAAGATACAACTTTACACAGTGCTTTCTAAAGACATACAGTAGCTGAAGCTAACGGAGTATGAGACCAAAAAACTGCATAGTCCATACTTCCGATATTACGTTACGTTTCAAAATATCGATACTAGAGCCAATAGGATCGATACTTTTATACTTTTTTTCCGTCTCCTCTACTCGTCAATTTCTTCAAAAAAAATATGTGCAGACGAACACAAGTATATGCTATTTTCTTCTCTCTCCACTGCTGTCCTCCTCTCCTCGAGGCTCGCGCACGCGCAGCGCGCTCCCTGCCTGAACGCCGATTATCAAGCTGACTGACAGCAGCCGGCAGGGCAGGACAGCAGCAGCCAGCGACTCGCGAGTGCAACACACAAACGCGCATGATGGCTGAGAGAAAGAGCAGCGTTGTGTGGAGCACTGTGAACTGCGATGTGTGCAAGAAGACAGTTCGCTATTCTGGCCACTTTGTATTGTTATTTTTCATGTTTGCACTTTAAATTTGCAAAAGTAAAACGTTTATTTGTCTATAAAAAACTGTCCTGTCTGTATTCATGAAAATGAATTCAGATTTAGTCTATTTATGATGATTTCAGCTCAAAAATCATGTCATGCAGCTCTCCCCCAGCGCCATATAGATAGTCTATATGTTGTCTATATGGCGCTGCTCTCCCCTATATGAAAGTACATAAGACGCTTTTCTTTAAAAAAAGTATCGATATCGGTATCGGCGATACTGGCCCTGAAATACTTGGTATCGGATCGAATCGAGATTTTGTGGTATCGCCCACCCTACGCACTACGCAGCCGATACAAATCTGCCCCTTCCTTCAGACTTCCTACAGAGCCCCTCCTCCAACACACACATGACCAATGAGGGCACGAGATAAGTTTGTGCACGAGATGGAAGCATAGAATGGAAGGCTGACAGGCAGGTAGGCCATCCAGTTATTTTAGCCGCCAGCCAAAATAATTCTTCTTGCTTTTTACAGCGCCACGGCTTCCACAGATGACATTTTGTTATGTATTTATTGTCAAAGCATTTAATGTATTCATTGCTATCGGGATGTTAAGAGCATTCCATAGAATATAACAAAAAGTGTTTCTGAAGTGAATTAGGAGATGTGTGGTGCAGAAGGTTGTGCGTTGGTGTTTGGAACAGGTTCAAACCCGACTGCGGTCAGCATGTCATTGTGTCCCTGGGCAAGACACTTAACCCCAAATTGCTCCTGTGGGGATTGCCCACACAGTATTGAGTATGTAAGTCGCTTTGGATAAAAGCGTCTAACAAGTGACCTGACATGTAATGTAATTACATACCCTACCTTTAATATCAGCAGCTTAACTAATTTCAACATGCAGTTTCTATGACCATAAGAGGGTACTAAACACTAATTTCAGACAAAACGCTGGTTAGCCTTAAACTAGCGAAAGAAGCTCCACCTTCTCTAACCATTAACTTAAGGATAACCCTATTCAAGTAATTAGGATTTCTTCGGAAAATGTGATATCCATACTTTATTACAGAATGTGTATTTTATCTAAGATGGTTTTTGCAAAAAAATGTAACGTGTTCACTGCCTTCCACTGGTCACAGTGAGGAATTGCAGGGAACGTAATCGGAACCTAATTTCCGGTTTTCAAAATAAAATAAAAAATACAATTGTAATCAGGCATGTTTGGATACTTCCTTCAGCAACCACGGGAATATGGGGGTTGCGTTCAAAGCATTTGTAATTGAAATCGTGAATGCAATCAGGACTTTAATGACCAAGTGAAGTAGTCTGTTTCAGACTAAACATCGCTAGCACCTGATTCTAATCAGCATCAGTGAAGCTAGCTAACTTGGCGATGAAGAACTCCATGGCGGGAGTTTTGACGCTGCGACCAAAACATGGAATTTATTTCCAACAGAAGGATTACAATGTGCAGTACCGCCGTACAAACATGAACATTTTGAGAGAATAATATTGCTCCCGAACATGGCTGCCCATGGATTTGGTGAGGTTGCAAACACAAAGTCGAAGAAGAAAATGATCTACTGAAGGTAAGAAATAGTCTCTAGTGTGCTACAGGTTTCAGACTCTGTGCTTTATTAGAAATAGTTCAAAACATTTCTTATTCATCATTATCCCTTTGAAATTATTTTTCATAAACTGCTCTTTACATGATCTTGTGATTTTGCTGTATCATTGGTGCTCACTGGATGGTGACAGTCTGTTTCCTGTAGTTTTTCAGGGTGTTGTGTTTGTTGATTTTACTGTGACAGCCCAACATACGTTCATGTATATAGGATGATTTGTCATTACAGGTTCCTATGCAGCCATTTTGGCCTGACACTGGATACTAGCCCCTTTTTCAATAGGCCCTACACATTAGGTGAGGTTGTGTCTAGTAAATATTAATTTCAGTTCAATATGTAAGGTGAATAAATAAGAAACATAGGTAAAATAGTTCTGTACTAAATTATATTATATTTTGTATGCTGATTAAGATGAGTGGGTGCCTATAGATACATTGAGATGACAGCAATAACATGGACATGTATTATTATTGCTGTATTCATGTTTCTGTTCGATGTGGATGTTTGCCTGACTTGGCTCACCCTGTGCATAAGAGTGGTATGTTCCAGTCAGGTGAGTTTGACATGGTAACATGGCCTGTTAATGCAGTTGTGAGGAGTTGGCAGCTTGCTGTTTGTTGCAGTTTTCATTTGCTTTGTGTTATTTTGCTCTAGTCTAATTTAGTTTTATGGAATTTAACAGTTTTAACTTTTGAATAATAAATGCCACTTCTTTCCACTACTCCTGCTTACCGACTGGGTTCACTTAACACTCCTTTTTCAAATTTAAATCATAGGTTTAAACAATAGTATTTTTTTTTAACTACACTTTTTGCTATTCTTTGTAAACATTTTCCATGACTTAATTGCATACTATATTTAAAGGAAAAATACATAAACACATTTCAAATAAAATATTACATTTAATGTTGTCCTGACCTACTGTACACACATCATATTCTTTAGACTTAAAAATATGTTTTTTTGAGTAGTACAGATCCTCCCGACACCATAGCCATTTTTTTTTTAAAACACAACATACACGTAAATATAGAAATGATGAACTTTCGTATAACATGTTCCAATATTTATGTAAATGCACTTTTATTTTTATCTAAATATATGTTATAATTTGACACAAGCATTTTAGTGTTTGTTCTGTTTTAATCACTGTTGACATATTCAGCGCTGATTTGTTTTAAAGCTTTACGAGTTAGACTCACCCGTTGCATCTTCATAAACAACAGTGACCGTCTTCCACTTGTAGTACTGCACTATGTCCAGCACAGCTCGGCTTATAGAGGTGTATTCAGGATAGAGGTTAATGTAGAAGCTGTCTCTGTTGTCCACTGAGGGGTGTTTCCAGCGTGTCTGGATGTGAGGGACTTCCAGGGCATTACATATGGACTGGACCGCGCTGACTGATGAGCTGTGAGAGGGGCCGAACACTGCCCCAACACCCAGGGCCAACTGGTCGCACGCTGACGTAATGAACCGAAAGTGGAGAGAGGAAATAACAAATGTTCAACACTAGGGAAACTCATAAACAATATATTTATAACAATATATAGATTTTTCAAGTGAAAAAGCTAAATAATATCCTTACCTCTTCTTGAGGCTTCAAAACTGTCATAGAGGTTTATTCTCTGGATATCATAGGTCAATGTGGTGTTTGGCATTAAGGTCCGGTTCCTGTTTATGTTGGTGACCGCAAATTTAAAGGCCAGTTCTTCAACACTAACGGGGTCATTCTCAAGAGTCTCAAAGATGCCACCTGTAGGAAGAGAAAAAACAGGGGTGGTGAGAAGGGATGTGACTTTATTTTGTCTTTCATCACAGGTTACAATATAAAAAAAACTAAATAAGCATTTAGTGTTGAATTTTCATTATTGGGATTATCGCTAATATCCTCACGAGCTGTAGCACTTGCTGTCAAAAGTTTAATGAATAGCCTGATTTAAACAAAAATACAGGAATAATCAAACTCACGATGTTTATTTGAAATATAGTCTTTCTCTATGCAGGGGGGCGGTTACCTTAATTAATATTGTTTCGTTGATTCTCACTAAAATAATATCTCATCATTGATGCAATCCACATATTGTTCCCTTAAAAACGTAACGTTTGAAAGTCATTTAAACAGGTTTTGAGTATATTTAATACACTATTGGCACGATATTCTGTACAAACTGTGAAGTCCACTGAGACAAATGTAACATTTGTGATATTGGGCTATATAAATAAACATTGATTGATTGATTGATTGACATTACAAATTGCAATTATTCTGACCAGGAAAATATAGTGAAATAACATTTTCATATGTTCCAGTGCCTAGCGGTGAGATTTTTAGCCAGATTTTATAGCCAACACTGAATTGATATTAGTTTTTTGAACGATGACTTCACTAGTTATTCACCTCTATCGTAGCTTTGCAACGTCACAATGACTTAATACTGACAGTTGCATAATGTGGCCCAATTCTCTATGTTACTTATACCGCATAATGCTAAGTGACCTTCTTGAGAACACACGATTTAATCTAATTTAGAGAAAAGCTTGACCTTTATTGAACTCAGCCAATTGACATGGCCTGAATTTCACAAGTTGACACCATGCCTTGTGAATGATTTGTTTTGGAAGACATGAATCACCTCTAGTTCATTAAAGACCAGCAGACCAGCTAATAAATCTAAAGACTTAACAAATCCTATAACAGATTATCATGGCAGACTTTTAAAAGTATCCCATCTCTTTTCTCCTTTCTCAACAGTATTTCAGCTTGGTTCAAGTAAAAACTGCTCAACTCTTTCACCTCATACTCGTATTTTAAACATTTTGTTCAATTTACTGCACCAGACACATAAGTCTTTTTCGATTTAAATCATACTTAAACCAGCTTGGGATTTATAGTATCACACAGTGAAGCCCAAAACATAATGTAATTTACTGCGAGGAGGTTAGTGTTACTGCTGCCAACACATTGAAAATGCAAAGCTAACCTCTGAGGTGTAACTGTTTTTAGAGAAGCTGCTTCATGTTGCAGTGTAAGAAGGAACAATTAAGTGATTCTGCAGTAGCTTAACATCATCCACCATTCTCATCAAGAAACTGCACGTTATGTATTGTAAGGCTTAACATTTTTGATTTAGTAAAACAGTTATCAGCAGTGCAAAAGGGATTTCCTGTTCATGACTGTCTCTTTAGTAATTGTTTTATGTACCAACTTGCATGCAAAAGTAGCATAACAAAGCGCCTAATTTATTTTAAATCTGCATATAAACCTGCAATTTACTGCTGCATTACCTCCCATTTCCCAGGACTATGCGATAAACATAGGTATGAGACCACAACTATGTAATTTAAAGTTACATTTCTCTTTTAAACACAGTCAGATGTTAGCTGGCTGTGTGTGTCATGGCATGGGCCACACGCAGGATGGGGGTTGTTTCAGAGTTGAGATGGAGAAGATCATTTAAAACTAGAGAATGCAATTCCTGAAGAAATTGCTAGTGGGAATGCTTTATGCTGAAAAGCTGACGCTGAACTGCTATGCTGAAATGTAATGTGTAAGAAGAAAGTGAATAATTTAGATTGAAATTATACATGAACACAGGGGGCTTGAATGTGTGATGAGAGAAGAAAAGAAAGTAAAAAGGCTTGGAAAAGCAGCAGAATATTTGAACTGCCAACCTCTGAACTAACTTGATGGCGAATGATCGATTAATTTGACGACACCCCATAATACACTTAGATGCGTTGACGGCTGCATCGTTACCAAACCTGTGAAGTTTTGGGCTGTTTGGAGTATTTTCACTGAAGTTTTTTGAAATCCGTGTTTCAAGGCAAGCATTGTGTTGCCATGGCAACAGCATTTGAAGGAATCTCAAAACTGTCCCGTAGATGTCTTCACGGCTGGACTGTTAGTACACACACTTTTTGAACATTTTCATAGGAGTTATAGTGACATCATGTTTTATGGCGAGGGATGCGTTTCCATGGAAACGGCATATGGTGAGATCTCAGATTTTGCGTAGAGCTGTTGAAGCATGGACCGGTGATATACAAGTGAAGATTGGGGGACGATTGGACCGTGTCGATTGGATTTACAGCGACATTGTTTTTCATGGCGAGTGGTCTGTCGCTATGGCAATGGCATTTGAAGAAATCTGAAAACGATCCCGTAGATGTCTTCACGGCTGGACTGTTAGCACACATGTGAAGTTATAGCACTTTTTGACAATTTTCATAGGAGTTAAAGGGACATCGTGTTTCATGGCGAATGGGCTGTCGCCATGGCAACGGCATTTGATGACACCCCATACTACGCTTAGATGCGTTGATGGCTGCATCGTTACCAAACCTTTGAAGTTCTGGGCTGTTTGGAGTATTTTCACTGAATTTATGAGAACCGTGTTTCAAGGCGAGCATTGTGTAGCCATGGCAACGGCATTTGAAGAAATCTCAAAACTGTCCCGTAGATGTCTTCACGGCTGGACTGTTTGCACACTGCTATCTGAAGTCTGCTGCTCTGAGCATATCAGTTGGAGTGATGACATCATCGTGTTCCATTGCACAGGTGTTTATAGTTGAGCTAACGAGGTGCCTAGACTTCAAAGGCTTCATTGTTCTGAATGAGAGATGAACCTCTTACATGTGAACGTTTTGTGGAAGAACCGTAACAGATATCTGTGAAATTTCAAAACGTGAAGCATGTCAAGGAAGTTGAGTATCTGAAGTGTCATTTTTGTGTAGTTTCGGGTTAATAATGTGGCCTTTTTGGCAGTTTAACTAAAGGTGTGCGGCTGTTACCGTGAGGAAATATCTGCCTGAAATTACAATGGGGTTTAATGGAGGAATGTTGAATGTTTTTGTCACTTCATGCCCTCAAGAGGCACTTTGTTTAATTATTTTTTCTTAATTATTTGTCATTTTTCAAGCTACGAGATGTTTTCCTACATTTGTCATGATAAATTATGTCTCAGGAATATAGGGTTTGGGAATTATGGCAGTTTTAAAAAAAAATATGAATGCGAATTTCAAGCTGTCCTCCACTCTAGCTGTGACATCACGCACTATAGTTAATGTTAAAATGTGAAGAAAACCTCTAAAACAAGGTCTGAACAATGTTTAATATCTCTAAACTCTTGTTTTACATGAATAATGTCACAAAGATGTGTTACATTTTAAAGTTAGAATGAGGTTTCTGAGTGAAAGTATGAATGAACAGTTAGCAGTTGAAGTCACATGAAGATTTGTTGAAGTTGAAGATTTCCTCCATTGACTTCAATGTTAAAAATTTGATGTATTATGGGATGTATCTCTGGAATTATGAAAGTTATGAATGAGAAAAGTAATAGCAATCGATTCCCGACCGAGCTGAACGTTTTGATGTTTGAACGGAGTTTCTGCGATGTTCAATGCGGGAGGAGAAGAGGGCCAAAATAACCCGGCGGAATAATAATAATAATGTTGTCTGTAGAAGAACAGTTAGTGGGAATGCTGTTAACAGCATTCCCACTAAAAAACGTACAAGTCTTAATTCACCGCGCTGCTCCAGAATAATGACGCGGCTAGCATGCCATGGCCTGCAATATGGATATATTACTCCAGCCGGGCTCAAGTGCAACATACAATGTTTTACATTTCAGTTACATAAAGTGCAGCATGAATAGAATGAGGATTAAGGCCAGAAATGCATTGGATTGTCACCACCTGCATAGGGCAGCATGACTCGTGCAGTGTTCTTATCCCTGCTGAACATGTCCCTGCACTTTTATATTACCAAAGCCTTTCAGATGTAAACAGCATTCAGTGATAGGATTTCTGAAATAATACATTCAGGGTTAAATGTTTTTTCTCACTGCATTGACATTCATGAGTGCAGACAGAAACAAGGCCAGTTCAGAACAGTCAGGGCAAGTCAGTGAATTTCTTTAATCTAAACAAATCCCAAATGAACTGTCTCATGTATGCAGTTAACCTGGAAACAAAGCCTAAAGGAATATTCTTTTAAAACCACCTGTAGTTATAAATCGATAGTCACATTAGAAGATTGAAGATGCCATTTTGTGCTACAATAATTTGGAAATGACCTCATAAAACTTAGACTGCAGATGGCAATAGGTCATTTCACTCTCTAAAGTGTTTGAAGAATTGCCTGTGAAATTGTGATTGATTTGGAACAAGAATGGGCCTTTAAAAAGCTCCCCTTGAGACCTTGATTGTGAATGACCTTTTTCTTTGCTGTAGCATAGCCTCAAACCCCAAACTGAGAGAGCCTTGTCTGCACTCCGTGGTTACTAAAAGCATGCTTGAAAGTGCCAATCCTAATTATGGTTACCTCAGTCTCAGTCAGCAGCTGCTAGGCCTGTTGAAGTCCCTAACTCTCTCACTGGAATATGAATTTGTATTGTATGTAATACAATAACCTTCTTGCAAATACGTTAAGAAAATGTGTTCCATCTCGGCGTCTTTTGATTTGATTTCAAGGTGTTTTTGTCATAAAAGGGGAGATGAACACGGGTCCGACCAGATGGTAGATGTTTACTTGCGTAAAGTGCAGAGGCTGCTGCAAATGTCACAGGCCTTATTAAGGATTCAACAACAAAATAATCCGAGTGGCAGCAGCATCACAGCACCATTTCCAATCAGGGGTTTGTTTTTCTCATATGGGCTGTGGAAGGCAAAAATAGCTGCTGCAATTTAGATTTTCTCAATTGTATTTTTGTATCTGATCTCTGGTGGCGTTCATAAAAACATGTAGGGGTGGATGCCTGCAAAGTGTCATTATTCAAATGAAAAAATGATGAATAATAAAAAAAAAAGCAAAGTGTGAGAACTTGAAAACCCCTTTCAAATTAAATAAATGTCTGCATTTATTAGTAGCTTTTGATCATATATTGATTAGCCAATAGAGACAATTTATTCACTGCCTCCTCCAGTGAGATATGACTTATGACCTCATTGGAATTTCTCCAGTTGGTAGACTGGTCTATAAGCTTAGTCGTCCATAAAAACAGAACTATTAGGATCTGTCAGACAGCGGCAGCATCTGATGTTGGAATAGGCCACTGTTTTTACTTGTAAGGTTTTAACTTGGAAATTGGCTATATCGTCAATTTACTCTCAAAACCTTTATTATCAGCAAAAGACAAATAAATCTATTTTATTGCACCGTTGGCTTATTCATTTCCTCTTTGAAGCTCGATAAAGGCACACCCCAGAGTGTAAGAAAACCCATTTATCTCTCCTGTCAATTCGACCTGAGATAGGATCTTACATTTCTGCTAAAGTAGGCTATAGTACAAGTGTATTGATGTCCAGAGGGTGATCCACGGTGACAGCAGTTTGCAGCTTAGCAAGGAGAGGGCTGGTCCAAGCAATCAGTGCTGGTCAGAGGAACACTACTGGGAAATATTTATAGTGTTTAAAGTAGCCAAGCCTTTTGTTAAACATGTCTTTGGACAAAACACATTATTATTAATGCACTTGGAATGGTTATACACACAATGTGAAACAGGAAACAAATGATCCATCTGTTAGCTTGGATGTAACAAAGCCCAGCTATAATGGAATACTGTTTGACAAACTGGTCATTTGCTTGTGCCACAAACCTGAAACCCATAGAACAGCTGTACAAGAGAGCTATCAAGGTGTTTGACAGAAAGCCACATTCATACCACCACTGTACCATCCTTGAAAAACACAGTTTCTTGAGTATTGACAATTTTAAGTCTTTTAAAAGTATGTGTTTTTTTATAAATGTTTACATGGAGTACGGATGGAAATTAGCTAAAAGCTCAAATCCGGCATATTTACATTTTGAAGCATTAATTGTTAAAAAAAATCTTCAATGTGCCTTGTCCCTCTTCAACAAAACAATTAAAAAAAAAAAAAAATCATCAGTTATTGTCATGCCCATGGCCACTATCAACCGTCCAGACATCTGGAGTGAAGCAGCAACCATACTCCACTTAATTTCTGGAAAATTGGTTTCAAATGAGCTTATATTCATGTGCTTGAAAACTGAGGAAGGAAATCATCAATGTTATCTCTTACATGCATTTTCAATTAAGAAACCCACAATATATAATGCACACATCCCAAGGAAAATAATGAAATCTGTCTCTAGCCAAGGGTTTCACATGTGTGGTCCAATGAGATTGAGCCAACATTGTTTTCCAAGGCGGCATATAATGAGTTACACTGGGGGCAGGTATTTTATTTAAAAAAGGGTAACTTGAGCACCTTGAAATCAAGCAACTGTGTTATCACAGCTCAACCCTTCTGTGGTCTCTCTCAGACCAACAATGTAATGCGTAACGCACATCTTTGGAATTTCTGTACTGTTATTTGTTTAGTCAACCACTACCGTACACATAATACAACTGTGACTTTGTTCTAGCTTTTCTTCAAATGAATAGCAACAATTTGCCAGATTTGAAGCTTTGGCCTATACTCCAATATTGAATTAAGATATCCCAGTATGTTTTAACATGAATTAAGTTTGAAAAGTAAAATAAGATTAGAACATAGACATGGATGTATTTGACTAAGAAATAGATCCTGTTTTGTTTGTTTGCAACATAATCCTTTGGCCTGTGAACAGTCCTGCCTGAAGCTTTTTAGCCGCGCTGTGTGGTTGCATTTTGAGCGTAACTCCAGAAATGGGTCATTGGATCATGGTTCAGTGCACCTTTTGTATTCAGCTCCACCACATTGCATGGAGTTGGGCAAACCAGATAATAAATGGAATTAATTTCCAATACTGATGCAGAGAAAATAGGGAATAAGCATTTCACACTTTCTGTTTGCAGATGACTCATGGATCAGTAGACTTTTAGCAGGCAAATTGAGGAGAAAGTTAGAGCCGTCTGTGATCATATACTCCAGTAATTGAAAGTTTGAGCTAAGAGATGCATGTATAACTGTAAAGTTGAAGCATGAATCACTCGACAAGCTTGACAAGCTGTTGTGCATTGTAGAGGAATAATGAATTCATCCTTACTCTGTCTTCAAAATATAATAAAAACCTCTATAATATCCTGCATATAAAAGCACATCTTCTTTTGCAAGGAACAAACATCCTTGTAATTTGAACACTGCAAGTTCACTAGTTTTTATCAGGGCTTTATTATTAATTCAATTTATAAAGAAGGGTTTTAAAAAAAAAAATGGGATGACGGCTACTAAAAAAAAGCATCGCCACAGCTACCATTAATTACTTTCCAATATAATTTTCAGGATCACTGAGCCTCCATCTCATCTTTAATAGGCCAGACGATGCTGTGGGGTGCTGCACGCTTAGGAGGTCACAAAACAATAGATTCTGCTCGTGCCGCAGGCAAATGCTGATAAACCCTGAGGCTTGGCTTTTTATAGGGCCTCCGTTCCTCCCTTCAGTGCTCAGAGCAAGAAACATAACAGTGTTCAGGTTTAGGCAGCTGTGTCGACCTGTTTTAATCCAAATACCCCAAATAACAGGTTAACATTAAGGAAATGATCTTTAGATCCTGATTCTAATCTGTGCAGTTATCAAATGAAGGGGAGTCTTTTAAGGCAGAGAGGCACAATGACGTAGTGTTTTGCTTTCTCCCCTCTCCCCATCCTGGGCTCGTTCCCAGTGAGCGCCCCCCACGCCCTCCTCAACAACACCACCAGCACCACTCCAATCTGGGCCCATGCCAGACTGTGAATGAATGAGGAAGTCCTAACCAGTCTACTATGTTCGTTTGATGTGGAGCACTGAGGTTTCTCTGTTCAGAGGATAGCTGCTTGCGACTCAACTCAAAAACATTTAGACCGAAATAATTAAAATCAGGATTATAATCTGTATCAAAGCTACCTAATTTATAAAAGCGCTGGGTGTAAGACTCTTAGCGGGATGATTTTATTAAAGGATATTTCTCTGGCTGGTAGCTTATCAAACCTTTCACATCATATGGGTTGTCATTAATTAATCAATCAGATGTCACCAATAAATGAAGCATGTAAGCAAGAGGAAAAAGGACTTTAACAAACTGCAAAAGGAAGTGGAGGCCAGGCCACAAGCTGCTGCTTCTGTGCTCTCCCTGATGATGAGATTTGGTCGCTGCCTAAGTACCATATTTGGGGAAGAGACTTTCTGCATAAAGAAGATTAGTGTTAGTTGTTTAAGGGCTTGAGGGAGAAGATTTACCATTATTACCAGCCCCAGTGCAGAGAGTGGAAGCCAGTCACAATCTGATGCCAGCACTTGCCAACACGGAGCAATGTTAATTGAACGAAGCCACCCACCATATGGGAGAGATTATGATGTGTGTGGGTCATGAAGAGAATGACAAAGATTAGGTGGCCTCAGAGAGTGATAGATGGTTTAGAGAGATTAACAATATAGTGCACAGATCGGGACTGATGGAACGGGAGGTGGCACCAGCCTATTAGCCTTCAAAGTTATGTAACACACACGGCTCCATTTTAAAGTCTTTTTAGAAGTAGAAGAAATTCAGAAAAATACAAAGTTGCTTTGGGCATTGAGCGCAGCAAAAAGTCCTGAAGCCTAAATGAAAAAAAAAATGTGATGCAATCTTCCAAACCATAAAAGGAGCAGAGAAAATGAATAGCAAATATCAGCTCCATTGTTACAAAGTTACATCAGAAATCAAAGGGGGATAGTTAGAGCCGGAGCTCCGTTTGTCTAATTAAAAGTGAAGGCAGAGCTCTTGTCAACTCTCAAAGGATTTACAGAGCATTTGCAACTCGGATCCACAATCACAGATGTCACTGGCCATCATCATGTATGCATCAAGTCTAAATAACTTTCACTAAGACTGGCCACTCATTTCTATCGCTCTGTATCCATTTCATATTTCTCAGTGCCAAAAAACATTATCATACAAAGAGAATATGGTTTTAGACGCAGCTGTAGACCATCCTATAATCACTCATCTGCCTCTGATCTGCGCTGTCGACATGGTGGAACAGGGACGGACTCTGATTTTAGCCAATCAAAGTGGATTAAGATTATTTAGAAAAAAAATGCCGATATAGTGGTTTCAGGGGAACAACACAGAACTCTGTCCTTAGTGTACCTCCCTTGTCCTTACAAGGACATTCTACAAACATCATTCCAGTATTGAATAACATAGGAATACAACTGTCCATTAGGTTTGTTACAGATAATATGATTGCCTGATCCAGAAACAAGTTATATAGCTACAGTTCAATCTAAAAAAGCATCACACATTTACCATGAACACACAGTGATTCCCTTTTGTAATTTTCTGGTTTATCATGCGAGGAGTTAAAGGTTATCCTCCTCCCATTTAACTTAGCTACAGAGTCTGAGCTGCACTATGAGTATATCCTAACATTGCAAACTAAATATAATGTCATCTTGCAAAGAAGCGTCACTCTATAGACAATAAGATGTGAAAAACATAATACAAAAAGTCAACTTTTTAATAACACATAGTATACAATGAAAGATAGACTAGGTAGGTGACGCCAAAGGGAAATTACCTTCAACCTGGATCACATAATAAACTGCGGACTGTATATTAACACAGAGGAATGAATTCAAAGGATAGACAGTTTCACCACTTACCTATTCTCAGGACCTGCTGCGAAGTGAGCCACAACTCTGCTATAAAGTACAGCAGTGCAAATAACAGTCCCTTCCCTTTCGCCATGGTCCTCTCTCCAGAGTCAAATGTAACATTGATATCAGTTTTTCTGCCCTCTGTAAATCATGCTGATAACTTGCCAGTCCTTGTATCCGTAAAGACAATAAACTGGCATCCGACCCGCATCCATCCCTCACACATTGTGATGAGAAAAAAAAAACACACACTCCACCTGCAGCCGTCACTGATCAAAACTCCTGTTTTCCCATTTTAAAATCCTTTCTGTGCCAGTAAGGTTTTGCTTCCCATATTCACTGTCCAGACATCGCTCTTATCATGTGTTTTCTTTCTGGTTCACACTTGAATTGTAGGCAGCAACTGAGGAGGAGCACTGTGCGCCCAGCTCCTCCTGTCAAGCTTACAATAATGAAAACTGTCTGGTGTGATTACCGTTTTCAAAATAAAAGGTGAACTGGCAACCCCAACAATAGAGAAAAAATAAACATGTCTAAAATTGAAAAGACTTATAGATAGAAATTATACACATTTTATTAGAATCTTTAAATAAATCTGACCCTTAATTATACTTTTTCCAGTGCTGTGGATATTTATTTATTTTATTTATTTATATATTTTAATAATCTTAGTCATATATTTTTCATTTTTTCCCTAAATGCACTTGATTGCTATATTCAATCCATCAGGGGTTTCTTATGACGCTATTTACCTAATCTCCAATTCTTTATTCATGTACACATTTGTATTTGAAATTGCAAAAGGATATTTGAACTATCTTCTACAATGGTTTTATTCTGACATCTTGCCTGCCATGTTTCCTGTCTCCCTCTTGCCATCTGTGGCTGACTTGACACCGCTGAGCATCCCTCCCGTGCAGGCGCTCAATTGAGGGCACAGCCAAGCCACTAATCCGCAAACATGGATACGTCCTGAAGATTAACTTCAAATCTGGCAGCATTCGACCTCGACAACGTCTTTGCTTTGGTACACCGAGGAATGATTAAATCTTTGCTCCCGTCCTGATGGAAACGCAAATCTAATCTTCAAACTGGTCTGTGGCGCTCTCTTGAAGATTAACTACCTCAAACTGTTTATATGACACAGTCTCATAGTAGAATAAAATGTGTTCACATTACCTTAAGAGGTTTGGGATAGAAGTTAAAAAGTTGTCTTGGTTGCTCAGCTGCAACGATCATCAACTGGTGTTAAAGCTGCACCCACTGCTCCCTAAGGAGGCACCATGGGGTGTTCGTTGGTTTTTGGGATTACTGTAATCTCACTATGATTTAATTCCCCAGAAATAAGCAAAATTAAAGAGAAAATATGTTATCTTTAGGGGCTCAAAGTGTAAAGTCTCTTCATGAGGTGAAAGCATTAAAGATAAGTTAAACCATAAAACAAGTATCGTATAGAGAATATAAGCATCTTTTTAAAATCATCTCCATGTTTGTCATTTTCCAACAACAGCCTGTACTATGACCAGTTTCTAAGGTTTGAAATGTATGTGTTGTTAAAGGGCCCATGTCTTGCTTTTCTGGTTATTACCCGTCCCCTTGTGTGTTATGTTGCTTTTTCTGCATGTAAACGGTCTGCAGAGTCACAAACCCTCAAAGTACACCCTGTAGCGAGTAAAACTCTAACACAGAAATGACCTGTCTATGCTGCCCCAGAACGCCTCGTTGTGGACTTCTCTTTTTCCATTGTTTACTTCTTGGGTATAGTGACGTAACTTAACGTCCGCAGAGCCGTTACGTTTGGACCAGTCCGCGGACTTCCTCAAACACACACACACACTTGGCGGGACGTTGTGAGGCTCGCTGCTGATCAGTAGAAATGGCCATGACATGGGACCTTTAAGACAATGTGATGAAGCAGTCCATTTGTCACTTTTTTTGTTGCTGCTAGTACAGTATCTCCTACATTAGCTACCTCTGCTTCACCTATCTACCTATATTCAAAGTGTTGCATTGCACTATAAAGCTAACATATGCTGTTGATGATAACGGCCCCAAAAATCCACATCTTAAATAATATAAAGTGCATGGCACAAACTCTAAAGGGGACCTATCATGCAAAATGCACCTTTGTACGTCTTTTATACATGAATATGTGTCCTCGGTGTTCCAGGGAACTCACCAAGTGTCAGAAAACACAACCCTCTCTATTTTCCTCCTTAGCCAAATCTCTAAAAAAGGGGCTGCAACGGATCTGAAAAAAACGGATCCAGATTTCAACACTTTTCTACGTCACAAAGAGGTGCTCCGCTTATTGGTCAACTTTCCACCTANGTGCACAGTCTTTTGGCTGGCCTGAATTGGTTCTGGCTCTTCTCCCTTGAACTGACAGCTGGACTGCCCTGACCTGTCTGGGCTGGACATAGGGAAGCTTTTATCATTGGAGTGGGGAAATAACCAAAAACACAGAATAATGTACAAGATAAGATTAGTTCATATTGAACGAAACTGTTCCAGAGCGTAACAACACTAGTGGCTTTGCCATGTTTCATTATGACACTTAGTGTTTTCCAATGCAAAAAGTCAGATCTTTGTGACAATACCTGGAAAATGCTCAAGCAGCACTATACACAGCCATTGAAAACTACGTAGTAACACATTTACACAGAATCAAAGTTCACCACAAATTATGAAATAGTTATCACCTCAAACAATAATGAATTGAAAGTATTCACAATAATCAATGGCAAATATTGCAAATTAATTATGTATTTCCGTATAGATTTACTTGTATTTGCGGCTACAAATTCAAGTATTCACTGTATTTTACCATATAGCCTTGATCTGCAGCTTCCTCTCACTACAGCTCGCTGGTCCATGTGACGTGTTACTGTTGCTCATGGCAACAAGAAACCGCTGACGTTAGCAAAACTCCTAGCTCGCCTAGCTTAATTCATCTGGAACAATAACTAAACCACTAAATCACAATTCGGCATATTTAACACAAAATCAACCACCAACTACCAACATTCCACAGCCCTCAACTCTGGCTCATATGTCTGTCACAGTAGGTAGTGCTATTGCAGTTAATTAGGTCACATCACATTCAATGTAACAAACGTTTTTCTACTTTTTGTGTGGACATGTCTCAAAAATGTAGCCTAGCCAGCCCCAGGCTAACGTTCTTACCATGTTGCCTCCACTCGCTCGTCTCCCGGCGCAGCAGCACCTGCTGGGGCGGTCGACCCCGGAACCAAATAGGTCCGTCAATTTAGAATATTTAGCAGCCTCCACCTCCAGAGACTTCAGCTTTTTAAGTCGCAGTTTTTCAGCGCCACCCGGGCTTTTCTTCTGCTTATCCATTTTCAGCTCAGCAGCAGCCCGTCCCGCGACTCCCGCCCATGCCATGAGGTCCCGCCCCGACCTGGTTTGTGTTGTGATTGACAGCACTGTCAGGGCTCTCTGAGCCTGTCAGCCCATGATTGATTGACAATGACAAACAATAGACCAATAATATGTGTCGATGCTGGCAACACACTGCTAGCCCTCTGTAGCCAATTGGCCGGCCCAATAGGAGGGAATTTAGAGAAGAAAAAAAGAAAAGAAAAAAAAACCATAGCGGACCGGCCCACATTGGGTCAACGGCCCACCGGGACGATGCCCGGTATGCCAGATGGCCAGTCCGCCACCCTAACATTATTAAATATAAATGAACCACGTAAATAATAATTCCCTTGTCTTTCATTTAACAATATCTGAATATTCCCAGGTAATTGAACGTTTTTTGCCTTAAACATGATTTGTGCAATTTGGAATTCAACAAGATCTGACAGTTTTAATAATTTTAGCTCTAAGAATAATGGGTTTGTATGATCCCTATAGCCGACGTTTTTAATAAGTCCTATTGCTCTTTTTTGTAGAATAAATAGGGATTGTGTTGTAGTTTTATAATTACTGCCCCAAACCTCTGCACAGTAACTTAAATAAGGTAACACCAATGAACAGTAAAGAATGTAGAGGGCATTTTGATCAAGAATCGGTTTTGCCTTGTTTAATATTGCAATACTTCTTGAGACTTTGGAATGAATATGTTTTATGTGTGGTTTCCAACTCAGTTTCTCATCAATATTGATTCCAGGAATTTATGTTCTTTAACTCTCTCAATGAAAATCCCATCCATCTTAATGGATGCTAGTGTATTGCTATTTCCAAATATGATTAATGTTGTTTTATTCAAGTTTAATGATAACTTATTACTGTTTAGCCATAACTTTAGTTTGCATATTTCAGCTGTGATCTCTTCCAATAGTAGCTGTACATTGTCCCCAGAACAAAATATATTAGTGTCATCAGCAAACAAAACAAACTTGAGTACTGTCGATACATTGCATATTTCATTAATATACATAATAAATAGTTTCGGCCCCAATACTGACCCCTGGGGGACACCGCATGTAATGTCCAAATATGAAGAACAACACTCTCCCAGCTTCACAAACTGTTGCCTGTTGGTTAATAACTCCTTACCCATTCCAAAACTACACCCCTGTTTCCATAACGTTCCAGTTTTTTTATTTATTAATATGTCATGATTAATTGTGTCAAATGCTTTTTTTAGGTCAATGAATATTCCAAAGGCATGTTTCTTTTGGTCAATTGAGCTAGTAATTTCTTCAAGTGAGTCTATTAAAGCCATCGATGTTGATCTATTGGCTCTGAATCCGTATTGACTTTCGGTGAGAAGTTTGTGTTTTTCTTTTAATGGTAATTGTCCTTAAAAGTATACAATACAATATAACAGAGTTCTCATTGGTGTGCTACTGCAGTCTTATCTCAAGTCACATGATTGTTTTGTCACTGAAAAACAAAAATATTGTTGTCTGACATCATGATAAGAAAATAAAATAATGTTGTCTGACAACATGATAAAAACGACTAATCACTTGATATTCCTGTAATATCAGTCTGAAATTGTGTATTTTCAGTATTTGCAAGACACAGGCCAGACATCTCAATTAAAAAAAAGCTTATTCTAAATTAGATTGAGAGGAATAATTGAGAAATGAGAAGTGCACATACAGTAGATCTAAAGGTAAGCATGATTGCAAATCCAAAGCAAAATGCCTGTATTCAATCCACTTAAAATGTCTGTTCTCACTTGAGTTAGTCACCAGCAGAGCAGAGTCCTTCTTGCTTCATGTTGGTGGTGTAACACTGATCTCTGGAGGCTTGCAGCAGGGATGGATTTGTACTCTATATGCAGGTTAAAACAAGCATTCAGCAGTGTGAGTCAGCCTCCAGCCGTGTCCTTCAGACAAACCACTTCTTGGCTCAGCCTCATTTTAGTAAGACGACTTTGGAAGAAAAGCATAATCTGAATCTCCCAGGTGAATATGCTGCAGAGAGGAGAGCTACAGGGATCCCACATGAGGTTTCACACAGGTCCTGGGCATGTTGTCATCAAAAATGACTTCATTTATTTGAAGTCTAATTATATATTGCTACAACAGTGTATTGTTCCATCTGTGATTTCAGCATCATTAAAAAATCCTATGACTTATTCATCCTTTGACAATATATATTTTGTTTCAAGGGCACAAACCTGTCCTTCCTTCCTCTTTGAGAGTGCTGAGGCACCTATAGGTGCAGCATGTGTCAGCAGCAGTGTTATCGATTGAGGAGCTGAATATTTCATGAAAAGTAAGCGATCCACTTTCACTTACTGACAAAGGAAAGCTAAATGCAGATTTTTTTAAATAGTACTTGAATCCAGAGTTTATCCGGAATGTTATAAAATAGAACACCAATGTATGACAACAAGGATCTCCCTGTACGCGTGGTGGAAAGCTTTCATCTTGGTGATGTGTTTCTCCCTTGTACAGCCTCAGTTTTTCTACGAATCAAAGCCTTTCATTTTTTCAGAAAGCTTGGGGCGTGATAACAGCTGTTATGAATAATTGAGATGTTTGCAACATGCTGCTGCTTTGCTAGTCTTAAATAATTTCTGCAATTAAGAAAAACTCTCTAAGGAAAGTCGATAACGTGCCCATCCTTGATCCTGAAAATGTAAATGCAAGGAGTAAAGGTCCGATGATCCTGAATAGGTCAGTGAGAGGTGACATACTATACGGGGGTGTAAATAGCAGTGACAAAATATACAGTATATATTTTAAATTTCCAAAAGGGATTTACTTTAGGTCATTTACTATATAAATTAATTGAACAACACATGACTAATGAATGCTACAATGCTTCCATCCCATGGGGTTTTCATTTTTTCTTGCAGTTTTAACAAACGAAGCTTTGTTCATGAGAATGTGAATAATGATGTGAATAATGCAAGCCAATTTGCAAACATATATTTGATGTGTATTGTCACGTACCGTTAGAAGGAACATCTTTTGAATATGTGCAGCCAAGTAATACTCAAAATGCTTCAATTCTCAGTAACGCACTGTGATTTCGGCTAATGTTGAACATTTTATACCCCCATTTTCTCATGCACCAAACTGAAAAATGTAATTGGTAACTTTTAAAAATGACTGACTCTATGACTTAATTGTTCTGTTCTCTCACACCCTTCCTGCTCTTCAGATCATGGCAGTGGCAGCGCTGACACACCTCACCAACACGCCCCTCAGCCTCCCAACGCCCCCAGCCTGCAGCGCCGCAGTCTGCCCCCGCAGGGCTGCTCCCCGCTCGGTACGTAGCCTTTGGAATCATGGGTCCGCTTCTTAATTTTATGTGTGTGTGTGTAGGATGTGCAATGTTAAAGATAACATCCTTATGCTGCTGTTTCAACAACCCCCATATCAAGGTTATGCTGTCCTGTGATCACATGACACTTGACAAATGATACCTAAATGGCCTTGTTGGCTTTTTAGTGAGTTTTTCCAAGGTCTCTTATCTGTATGTTATTTATTCTCAAAATACAATTGTGAGATTCTAACCACGAGGGAAAAGTAAATAGTCTTGCTCCCTTTATGAAAATCGAACACACTTGGCCTTTGTCAGGGCATTTTAATTTGTGTTCATCATTTCATTAATTGCCTCCCTGAGGATCCTTCAGAGAATTATGGGAGGCTTGTGGCGCAGTGGGTTAGTGCGCTGATCTTTGAATCAGAGGATAGCAAGTTTGAGTCCCACTGCAGTCAGCATGTCGTTGTGTCCCTGGGCAAGACACTTCACCCCAAATTGCTCCTGAGGGGATTGATTGCCCACAGTATTGTTGAGTATGTAACACAAAGCGACGCAACTTCTGGTCCAGGCTCTCGTCATCTCACGCCTATACTGCAACTCCCTCCCGGCTGGTCTACCTGCATGTGCCATCCGACCTCTGCAGCTCATCCAGAATGCAGCTGCATTCTTCAACCTTCCAAAATGTTCCCACACCACACCGCTCCCTTCACTGCAGTAACTGCTAGAATCCACTTCAAGACAATGGTACTTGCGTACCATGCTGTGAATGGATCTGGCCCTTCCTGAATCCAGGACATGGTTAAATTGTACACCGCAGCACGTGCACTCCGCTCTGCATCGGCCAAACGGCTTGCTGCACCCGCACTGCGAGGAGGACCCAAGTTCCCATCAGCAAAAACACGTGGGTTTGCTATCCTGGCTCCAAAATGGTGGAATGAGCTCCCCATTGAAATACAGCAGAAAGCTTACACATCTTCCGGCGCAGACTGAAAACTCATCTCTTTCGACTCCACTTTGAGCGATAGAATTACTATTAACAGAGCACTTATATACTAATAAAGGACTGGCTTATCTAAAGCCAGTTGAGTAGCACTTGAAATGTTTGGCTCTATGAAACCTGATGTACTTATATGATTCTGTTTTCTTCAAGGTTGTATCTTCCTGGTCGAATGTACTTATTGTAAGTCGCTTTGGATAAAAGCGTCAGCTAAATGCAATGTAATGTAAAATAGTTCAATAGCTCTTTACCATGTGTCTGTGAAGAAGCATTCAGGTGGTCTCACCTTTTTACGTTATATTGTCTGGAATTCAAAGGCTTTGAGTTCAGTACAATTGTAAGGCAAATGAAGAGCTTAAAACAACACATTTACCATGATGACCACAGTTTATTCAGTAGCAATTAATATTTTCTTATTTTGCTATAGTGCAACACATCCTAGAAAACATTTTGGACGTTCCACTTAACAATCGTCATTTAACATTGTTGTTTATTGATAAGTTATTAATACAAACGTATGACAAACAACTCTAACAAATAGCTTTAAATTAGTTATACCGTTAGTAAAAGACAATTAAAAATAACACACTAAAACATAACCAACACACATTCTTTACATATAAGACGGATACAAAAAATGCAAAACACAGGTTCTTTCTATTTTGGAAAAACAAGTTTGAAACAGCCCACCGGAATCTATATTTACACTAACATCACTAGCAGTTATATTCAACCTTGTCTTTTTTGTGTATTAATTGTAAAAAATCAACAACAGATAGACAAGCAATTTAGTCTGGGCGTCAGGCATTAATTGACCTTCATCCTGCCTCTTATGTACAGCAGTTGAAATAAGCTTGTGATGATGAACTATAATGCATAGTGTCTTTTAATGTTTAACCAGTTAATAAAAACCCACTCACAATCTTTGTCTAGATGTATACACCAGGGCCGCTTCCACTGCGAGACTGTAGTTGTCTCCTTGATGATGTATACCCTATGAACACAGGAGTGTGTGGAACCGGATGAATACTGGACTGGTAGGATGCAGCAGGATTGGTCATATAAGTCAGGGAATATGGTGTGGTGTTCTGGCTCATGTACAAAGAGTTGCCTGGTGTATACAAGCTCTCAACATGGTTAGAACTGTGCATGGAAGAATGGTGAGCCAGGCTGTCTTGATATAAAATTGACTGATTGTCAGGCGAACCTGGATTATAGACGACAGGAGGGCTGATTAATGTTCCATCATTTGTCATCACTCGGGGGATGTTTTGCATTGGTGTTTCAAATTGTTGTCCAACATAGCCGTTGGCCTGCAGAGAAGGATGGTAAGCATTTGATGGGAGGCTGGGAACACTCGAAATGGGATGATACCTCATTAGAGTCGGCCTGCTGGCTGCTGGCTTGTAACGTAGCAAGTTGGCTTGGTTGTACACGTTGAATGAGCCTTTCTCTGAAGGTCTACGGCGGCAGACGAACAACATGCCTGAGGCGAAAAGGAAGGCGCTGGTCACCCAACCTATGTAGAGAGCCTCTCCAAGCTCCCTTCTCTCAGCATCGATTAGCAAAGGATTATAAAAATCTCGAATGATGACATGACCAGTCCACGACACGGGGATAATGACAGAGACACAGGCCATGAACTGCATACCACCTGCAACCTGGAGGATGATAGTTTTGGCCCGATCATTTTCCTGAATACAGGATATACAACGCATTCCTGCCATTGCCACAAGGAGCCCCAGTCCCGACAGGGCCAGAGAACAGCACATCAGACCCCTGGCTGCCTGTAAATCCGCGGGTAGGAAAAGCAGGGAATCGTACACCTTACACTGCATCCTGATGTTGGCTTGTCTGTAGCAGTTCATCCACAAGCCCTCCCAACGGGTTTCCATCACAATTATGTTTGCCCCAATGAAAGCTGTCACCTTCCACATGGGCATCCCTGTAGTAGCCGCCGCCCCGATCAGGCCAAACAGCCCGACACACATTGCGGCTATCTCAGAAAATCCTTGAACCATTTCGCAGTCTTCACGAGGTCAGCTATGTCCACATTAGAGTAGTTCACGTCGAAATCAAATTCTGATGTTCTAGTATAACATCACAGACTCTTAGTGGGAGACGTGTCTAAGGCAGCAAGGATTCTGTTATCTGACGCAGTTTATATGCTGTAAGAGGTGGTTTGTTATGGGAACGATGCTGTGCTGTCCCCTGGTTGGCTCAGGGCAATGGGGGTAAAGAGGACCTCTGCTTGTTTTGTGTTTATGGTTCCTCGGGCAATAGCGGTATATCTGGGCCATCAGCTACTCCAGCATTAAACCAAGATATCACAACAAGATGTACCAAAAACTGCTCACAACTTCAGATTTTTTTAAATCACTTGAATTTTTTTTATTCTCATTATATTGCATTAAAATTTAACATATATATATATATATATATAAACATATAGTACAATGAAGCACATTCACTCCAGTAGTACCTCTGTTGTCCACAAGGTTGCAGAAATGGCTTTTAAAGTAGTGAAACAGAGAGGAAGCTCACATCACACAGNTAACTCAATGACCAGTGGTGCAATTCTAAAGCATTGTATGATAATGACCAAACACCACAAAAGTATTTCCTTGAGATCAATCCTGTATATATATATATATATATATATATATATATATATAAACATATATATATATATATAAACATATAGTACAATGAAGCACATTCACTCCAGTAGTACCTCTGTTGTCCACAAGGTTGCAGAAATGGCTTTTAAAGTAGTGAAACAGAGAGGAAGCTCACATCACACAGTTGAGTGTGAAAATATTCAAATTTCAATGTAAAAAAAAACAACATAGACAAATGGGTTATTCATTTTGCTGTGACATTGAGTAACAGGGGAAACAACAACATCAACACATATTTTCAGTATGAAACATCAATAAAATGATGTATAAGAAATTGAGATTCTACAGTGGCAGCTTGCTCTTATACTCAGTGAAAATGAAATGTGCTGACCTAATGGTTCAAGAGCTAATAAACTGCACTGCTGGGATCACCCTGGAGATTAACTTGAAAACGTCTCAAGCTTTGAATGCAAAGTGACTTGCAAATTCTTTAATAATGAAATTACTGTGAGGTTGTCTCTGTCTGGCTTCTTCACAAACACTACGCGATACACACCTTTAACAAACAGTCTTAAACCTGCATCTCATGTTTACTCAGCCCTTTGTTCCGTTTCAGTCAGCTCCCAAAAGCTCCAGGGCACAATTCCAAAGTTAAACAAAGACTTACAATTATGTTTTGGTTGAATAGACCCACACAAAGTGTTTTGAGTTTTAGACATGCATACCTCTGTTATTCTCACACAATCAGTCACCAATAAATAATTTACTGTCCTAAGGGTAGTACCTGTGACTTCCTCATTCCATGTCTAAAAGTGCGCTAAACTGGAGCAACTGGCCAACTGAGCAGGATTATATGAGGACACTGTGTAGAGTGTACTTGTAAGATAGTAAATAAACCACAAGGATGTGTGACTTAATGTGCATTTGTGTTTTGTCCAATGGATCAGGGATATACATTTGAATATGCCGTTCAAGCACAGGTTATGTTTTAAGAATGAAAATAATTATTATCTAGTATAATAATAAAAACTGTCTCTATAACTACATGGCTCTCTCCTATGTACCAAAAACAGCATTTTAACAGTAAACAAATATACACCTGTCTTGTGTCTATTACCCAATGCCGGTATATACAGCATGCACATACAACATTCGGAACCTAATATACACTAAAAAGGGTGTCAATAAAAATATGATTATACAACACATATACAAGTAATGTAAATCATGTATTGACTTATACAGTCCGTGTTAAAATTGTGATTATAGATTGAAAACAAGATTGTGTGCTTTTTAACAAAAATCACACTCAGATAACGTATAAAGAAGTGATTGTATTCACAGCATATTTATTGAAATGTGTTCTTTGTTTGCTTTAACCTATAATAGTTTGAAATGTTTGATAGATTGCACTGCCAAGGAACGACATATCAAAAAGAAATCCCCTTGTGTATATAATACACCATATCTGTGTTCATCATTACCTCAATCTGTTAGTGTTCAGAGATTTGCCACCCCCTTTCAGAGGGGTGTCTGGATGAGTAGCTGTAGACGGTTGATGGATGTCTTGACAGCATCGGCTGAAACTGGGGTTGTGTTTGGGGAAGTAGCACCATCTGTTGAGGCTGCAGAGGCTGAGGGTAGGCCATGTAGTCAGAGTTCCTCGAGTACACGTACCTCGCTGGACCTTTTTCTTCCGACTGCACATTGCAACAAATAAAAATGCATCCTCCAGCGAAAAAGAAAGCGGAGGCCACCCAGCCAATGTAGAGAGCCTCTCCAAGCTCCCTGCGCTGAGCGTCAATCAGCAGAGGGTTGTAGAAGTCCCTGATGATGACGTGACCTGTCCAAGACACGGGGATGATAACGCAGATGCAAGCCAATAGGACCAAGCTTCCTGCAATGATGAGGACCAGCCGCTTAGCCCGGTCGTTGTTTTGGATGCATGACGTGCACTGAAGACCCACCATGCTGATTAGAAGACCAAGACCACCCAGTGCCAGAGAGCAGCACATTAGCCCCCTCGCTGCCTGCAGATCAGGGGGCAGAGCCAGGAGAGAGTCATACACCTTACACTGCATTCTGATGTCGGCCTGACGATAACAATTCATCCACAGACCCTCAAAGCGGGTTTCAAACACAATGATGTTCTCCCCAATGAAGGCTGTGACTCGCCACATCGGCATCCCAGTGCTGGCTGCTGCCCCGATCAGCCCGACCAGGGTCAAGATCAGAGCCACTAGCTCCAGTGCTGAGTTGGCCATGCTTTCCTCCTCTTATTCCTCCAAACTCATGCGTTCAATAATGTGTGGACACAGTGTGACTATAGAATGGAAGAAGTGGAGTGTATTTGCATCCCAGTGGAGGAGGAGCAGGTCGGTGTTCACCTGTTCTGCCTCCTCCCTGTGGACAGGACACTAACATGGGAGGGGTGGGAAATGCAACAGGTTGCCAGGAAACTGAATACCCCAGGCCATTTGTTTTCTTTGTAAACCTACCCCAGGAGATTATATAAGCTGCTGCCTTTGGTATTCAGAAGTCTCGATTTACATTCTCGGATCACGTTTTACAGGGAAAAGGAAAATAAAAACAAAAATTGGGTGTTTATTTACAAGAGCGGGATTTTTAAATTCATCAAATTGTAACTAGCTGTGACTTAATGTTAACGTTATACCAGTTATAAAAGAGCATTGAGAAACATCATATTTTTTTATATTAGTGTGTCTTTTATCATGGGATAGGGGTAATACTTGTGTACCAATGTGTCACTGTCAGCATTGGATTTATTGTTTTGGTCCCTTGTGTGTGTCTGTGCTCAGGAAATGGCTAGCAGTTGGAGCTCTGGCATGTTTGAAATATCTTGGCTGGTTTGCTGTGTGGGTGGACCTGTGAGGACAGTCTGGTTTTACCAGTTAAATAACATTTACACTGACGACAATGGAAACAACATACCAACCTTCCACTTACACACCCGTGAGCTAAATGGGTGCAGTTTCAGTAGGACGCCTCATTGTATTAGGCAACAGAAGAAAAAAACACAACTTATTTTTGTTAACATTATCCCTTTATTGAAAACCACAAAAGCCATTTTATCTCAACATTTAAATTAAAAAAAAAGGTACATTCACAACAAAAACTCAGCAGTAAAAACAATCTCATGGATGTATATTATCTGAAGGCCTAGTGCATAATTTGTTCTCAAAGAGCATGTCAGAGGCAGTTAGGACAGTGATATCAGTCACTTTTGTATTACGCTGTTACAGGTGAAATACTTTTGAATGACTGATATGATTTAGTGTTAACTACACATATGTCAACAAACAATACATACAGTAATTCAGCACAATGCATGATGATCAAAACACAATCGGTTCAATAAGGAATTTCCACCTCAGTAATAAACGTGGCCCTCTTTGAGGAAGTAATAAAAGATTTGTCCATTTCCAGTGACAGGCTTTGGTCCTATTAGTCCGTTAACACTCATTCAAATGTGCCACGTCTTTAAAAACAAAATAGTCCAAAAAGGTCTTGAATTTCCTTACTAGTACTGACTTGGTGTGTATGCCACAGACCCAGGTGGGGGTACTGAGTAGGCAGGCTGGTAGCCAGGCTGGTAGCCAGGCTGGTAGGTGTAAGCTGGCTGGTACGAGTAAGCAGGCTGATAAGCGTATCCAGGCTGGTAGATATTTCCATTGTTGTATACAATCTTCTCATCTGATTCCTGGGTGCGGGGAGCGTGACGGCACAGCAGGATCACTCCCGCAGTGAAAAGCAAAGCTGAAGTCACCCAGCCGATGTAAAGAGCCTCACCGAGCTCCCTGCGCTGGGCATCGATCAGCAGAGGGTTGTAGAAATCCCTGATGATGACATGGGCGGTCCAGGACACAGGGATTATGCTAGTGAGGCAGGCCAGAAGGAACAGACAGCCCCCAGCCACAAGAACAATATGCTTGGTGCGAGCCCGATGGTCCACAATTTTGGTACACTTCATTCCAACTGCTGAAACGACGAGGGCGAAGCAGGACAGGGCCACGGAGCTGCACATCAGACCCCTGGCAGCCTGGAGGTCCGGGGGCAGAAACAGTAGAGAATCGTACACCTTGCACTGCATTCTGATATTGGCTTGTCTGTAGCAGTTCATCCACAAACCTTCCCACCGAGTCTCCATGACAATGATATTCTCTTCTATGAACGCTGTTACCTTCCACATCGGCAGGCCCGTCACAGCTGCCACTCCAATGAGTCCAATGAAGCCGATGATGAGGGCCACTACCTCACAACAGATGGCATCCTTACGGTCCTTCTTCTCAACTCTCTTTTTTTCCTCTTCTACAGAGTCTTGATAATCGGCATATGTCTTGGCCTGCTTCTCATCGTAGTAAGAGCCTGCGTAAGATTGAGGCGGCTTGCTGTAACCACTGTAAGCAGTGTAAGCGGCCATTGCTACCACAGAGAGCCAAGAATAGACCTTTGGATGTTCTCTGCCGGCTCTGGAAAAAAGTATGAGCAGAAAAGCAAGTCAAGGAACTTATACACCCAGAATAAGATGCTAAGTATGCAATCTTACTGGTTGAGCTGCTTCACAGCCAGAGGCATGGGAAAACACAACAGAGAGTGGCGCTTCTTTTGAAATGCAAATGCAATCACCCGACAAACAATCAACCATTTGGTCTCATGATTAAGTAGATTTAATCAAAAACAAATTGAATCACTTCATGAAGTAACTTTTGATCCAAGCATGTTGATCAAAGCATTTTTTGAAATATGGTCAAGTTTAAGATATTTCAACACCACTTTAATACTAGATTGAACAATATTTTAAAGGTATTTAATGATAGCAAGTTTTCTGTTTAGATGATGAACTATCGAAAACGTTACTATAAACATGAAAATACATAGTCTAGAATATCCTAATTGTCACCAGTTAGGAGCTAAGACTTGCTTGGTAACAATTGTGGTGTTGCCAGAGTGGGGATTGGCTCACGTAAAAGGCGTCAGCGGTCTGCTGCGATGTCTGCAACCCACCTCATACCTCTGTCTAAAACAATTGGTATGAAATCTAATTTTGGATACAAATGTTGTCAAACAAAGATTCCACATAGAAAGTGTCTTTTTTTAGAATAGTTGATAATCTGTTGTCTCTCTCAGACTGTAATCTGATAGGATGATCTCAGAGATGTCAAACTGTCTCCTCCTTCAAATGTAACCTGAGCCGATAAAAAGGTGTTGAGCATAGAAACCCAAGTAGGATTGGTTTCATTGTAACATAGTGTCTATGTGCCAGCCATTCGCACCTTGCTACTGCAACACTAAAGTCTTCCTGGCCTACCTTTAGACAACCTGTACAGTTTTGAAAATATAAATATCTGCATTTGGTAATAAATTAATATCTGAAAGGTAATACCAAGAGGTCTCAAAAGTGTTGTGGGAAATGGTAGAAAAAATACAATCACACAAGTGAATAAGGACAAAACACATTTATTTAGCTCTGACTTATTTTGTGTGACTCTAGTCTTAAATTATTATCAAATCATAAAGATTAAAGCATTTGAACAGTCAAAATTACAGGTACAAAAAAAGGCATAAAAAAAACATTATATATAGACTGTATAGAGTTGTGCGAGAAATGTTAATATGTTAAACTAATGGAAGATGTACAGTTCAGTTCTTTACACATATTCTTGATGCTTATAAGAGCTAGATGGCGTCCTCCCAAGGTACACGCTCCCCTCTTTCTGTATGCTCACCGCAATAAGATGCACATCGGAATAAGGCTCTTCCTCCTTTGATCTACGTTTGCAGTAGCTTGACAGAAGGATGACCCCGGTGATCAGCAGAATGCCAGAAGTGGCCCAGCCAATAAACAGGGCCTCTCCCAGCTCCCGTTTCTGAGAATCCACCACCAGTGGGCTGTAGAAGTTCCTGATGACGGTGTGGGCCACCCAGCTAACAGGGATGAGCGTGGTCAGAAAGGAAAGCAGATAAAAGCTACCCCCTAAAGCCAACGTGATGTTCTTGCTCTTTGGGTTGTCGCCACAGCAGTTGCTCTTCTTGGTCCCACATCCTGTGACGAACAGGGAGAGGACCACCAGGACTATGGACACACACATGAGCCCCCGGGCTGCCTGCAGGTCTGGGGGGAGAATGAGCAGCGAGTCGTAGACCTTGCACTGCATGTTGATGTCGGCCTGTCTGTAGCAGTTCATCCACAAGCCCTCCCAGAGTTCCTCCATGACTATGAGATTGGCACCAATGAAGGCAGAGACCCTCCACATGGGCAGGGCAGTGACAGCGATGGTCCCACACAGGCCGATGGAGCCCAGGACCAGGGCCAGGACCTCCAGCTTTGCTCTCATGGCTCCGCAGAAAGTGCTTGTGTCTCGTATCTTGTGTTATGAAAAGACTGCTCAACCAATCTTTTCTGCTAGGCTGTAAATCTGTGATAATATCCTCATGCCTGCAATGTCATCCTACTGGTTTTCGTTGGCTTGACCTCTATTCCTACCATGGTTTCAGTGCCAACTCCTCTGCATTTCTCTGAAAAACAAACAAGTGTTACAGATTGACCATCATTTCTCATCATGCATGACAAGCACATATATAAAGAAAGAGTATAACTATGTCGACATGTGGAAACCCTGCAAGTTTAGTGTTGGGGATTAAAGTTTACACAGTTTTAAGTATGTTCTACGTCTTGGGCTTTCGAAACCTCTTCAAACTCAATTGGATTTTCAAAAATAAAACTTTATGTCTTAATTATTACATGAAGATAAATTACACTTACTGCTTTGGAAGGACCACCTTTTCACAATCGTATGTTCCTTTACTGTAGTACATTTTTATGTTGCGCTCATCTGCCCCTTAAATGACCAGAGTCACTTGATGTGGCAAGTAATCTGACAACGGAACATTGTTCGGCCTATTTCCTGTTTATTCACAATCAGTCTGCAAATCATGGACTGAAATACATAGGGGGAAGAAGTACTCTACACTTGTTACATATATTTTACGTAAGCAAAACTAATAATACTACATTGTAGAAATACTCTAGTACAAGTAAAAGACCTGTGTTAAATGTTGTACTGATATATTGGGCATTCTACCGAATTAGTACAAAGTGCGGTCCCACAACAAGAAAAACTATTTAACAAAACAATTAAGTATTCAGACATAGATATTTACTAAGAATATGTTATGGTCTATTGAAACACAAGGTAGATAGTGATAAGCTTAATATATACAAAAACATCATTTATAGGGTACTTTCTATTGGGAAGTAGCTGTCCCCTACCCTGACATTTTAAATGTAGTTCAATGGTGTATTTAGAAGAACTTGATGATTACATTCAAACAGAAGTTGGAATATTTAGATCTATTGTGGGTATCATTTTTTAATCAAAAAACGATACTCAAAAAAATCACGTCCCCAGTTTTCATGTCACTACCAAGGGGTTTTAGTCCAATGGCCGAGCCTGGTTTTTAGCCACACCCCTGCACTTTTGACTGGGCAGTGACACTGCATCCCTGTCCCTCACGGCAAGTAGCTATATCCCGTACTTATTATATAAATCTGTTCCAAAATCTGAAAATCGGCGTGTAACCTTAAGAATTGTCACTACCGAACACATATTATCTTCAATTAAGTCAACTTTTTCGGTGTTTTATGCAAAGTATTATGTTTTTATGCGTGTAAACCTCTTCAGAAACGTGTATGCTAGCCATGTACTTGCTAGCATTCTTTAGTTATGCTCAATTTTAGCTAGAATCGTCACTAACGAAACATTCACTACCGAAACATATGGTTAAGTTTCGGTAATTGACATGATTGTTTCGGTAGTAGTGACACAATGGAATGGTAAGCAGGTAAATCCCATCATTTTGAAATAAATGTGTTTTTAAAGTCTGAAAATCAGTGTGTTACTTTAAAGGTCTCTTATTATACTATTGTTAGGCATATATTATAGGTCTCAGATATATAAAAAAACATGTCTATGAAGTGTTTTGCTCAAAATACCAAACAGATCATGCATTCTAGCCTCATCCCCCTTTATTTCAGCCTGTTACTAAAGTGATGATTCTGGGTCAGTAGCTTCAAACATTCACACTTCAACATAAGGCATGTTATGAGTAAAGATTTAGCAATAAGGTTGAGGGAATATGATACAACCGTGAGAACAAAATACTATGGTCACTACCGGAACACTGGATGTCTTGTAAAAAATAAAGTATATTGACTTATCAAATAACATGATATGATACTGATTGGTTTAATGTATGTTCAATTTCAACAATCATCAACTCTGGAATCAATATGATCAGTATTATGCATTTTACAAAGAACAGTTTGCATTGTGATTTTTATGAATTGTATAAATTGAACTTTGAAATTTGATAAAAAATTAAATTTCATTGATTTAATTGTGAAAACCCTCAAGAAATATTTGTTAAAATACTATTTAGAGAAGGGAAGGTAAAACAATCTTAACAGGTTAATATAATACTTTTTTACTACAGTGTATGTACTATGTTTCGGTAGTGACCATTTTTGGTAGAGGAAGAACAATCCAATACAGTCTGAAAATACGATATAAACATGTACGGTTCTTTTACTAGATATGTGTAATTTGGACAATGGTACAAAATATATATGGACAAACTTTTGGGAAAAAAACATACACAATTTCAAAACATTTCCAACCTGACTTTGGTCCAATTCAGTAGAATGGCCCATACAGTGGCGGGAAAAGAACAATATTTGCTTCTGGATTGTGGTGGACTACAAGTATAAAGTAGCAGGAAATTAATACTATTAATATTTCATTTTTTTTACTATACTTTTAATCCACTGCAAGTACCTCAACATTATAATTAACTACATTATTTGAGTACATATTATTAGTTACCGGCCACCACTGATTAAATATGGCATTGTCCCAGTAAACACATGATGCATGGCCACCCTTATGTATAAAGCACATGCCTGAACAAAACTAATTTGCTTCCCATATCTATCTTTGTGCATGTGCTATTGGCATTAAGTTGCACATTGCTATGGAGTTAGAAATGCAATGTAATAATGTTTTGTGAAGTGAAGTTTATCTTTAAATTATTAAGTCTCAGATGACTTTAATGTCAGAATCAGTATCAGAATACTTAATTTATCCCGGGGTAAAATGGGTAAAGCTAAACCTGACTTATCTTTTATTTATTTTTGTAATAGTCTATTGATGCTGCTTCTGCTATGAAAATTACCATCTTAACAAAGACAAAAATGAAACATGACCAGGAAGATGGTTTGCTTGCAGATAAGGAGCAACAATGGGAGATTTCACATTAAAAGAGCCACTCCTTTATTTAAACATTAGTTGGTCCTGAAAGCTAACACCCTGTTGGTCACCCTGTTTCAGGAGAGTACCTGTGACAGGAAAGGAAAGGGAGATAAAAAAGATTAGGCAGGAGAGGTCACAAAACAGGAACAGAAACTGGAAGCCTGTCGAGCAGGTTTGCTGAGTGATACCATTGTCACATCATAGCTGCTTCAAATGTAAACAGATACACTCAAGCTGAGAAGCCTGAAGTTGGCCTGCAGCTAACCTAAAAACATCAGATGTGCTGTGAAGTCTTTTCTTTAGATATTTAACCATAATCTTCTGGTATTGCAGTTCTACATTTAGATTTGAGATAAATTGGGTTGAACGTGATGATGCAACTCGAAGTAACTAAGTACACATTACACGGTGAGATGTGCTGTGGCGCAGATAGAAATGTAGAACAACATCAGGCTGTGTGTGCCACCTGCTGTATGTAAATGTCTCCTGCACATTTCTGGACCCCAATAAGTTTGAGATATTTGGAAAATATTTTAAAAGAAATGAACTGAGGTTTGTCTCCTTAATTTTACTGAAGTTTTCAACAAGAGAGAATCCTATACATTTGTTTCCGTTAACTGTCAAGTGGGAACTAAGTATTTTTTTGTGTGTGTTTCTCTTATTTTCCTACCATACTGTTATGATTGGCTGTGAATAAGAAAACATGAAGGACAGACCACCTATTTCTATTCGGTTTTTTTGTTGAGAAAGGGGCAGGTAATATAAGATTTTATTTTATTTTCCCGGCTCCTTTCCGGGTATGGTGTGTTTATAGAGACATGTTTTGTAAATAATTGTTATACATTAAGTTGTGCCTACCATGAACGGAACAAATACAATATAAATCTAGCCTTTTCTTTTAATTTGGGGTATGGGGTAATACAAGAGTCTGTTGCATCAGAGCATCAGCAAGGAAACCCTGTCCCATCTCATCACTCTGCCATTCAGCCCTGCATCAGATACTGTCGCTGGCTATCTACAGCACAATTAAGTCTGAAGTGATCTTCCCCTTTTATCTGAAGGAGCCCCAGTGCTTTTGTGGTGGGGGTGGTGATTGACAATGGTGAGGGGGCTCCTGAAGCTCGGGTGACAGGATGTCCACAGAGCTCAGAGACAAGAGAAAGAAGAGAGGGCTGTGGGTGCCATAGCTCAGTCAGGGCATATTTACCTTTGGATCGATGATGAAACGGGAACAGACAAAGTGAAATTGGATTGTTGAGGTTAGGTATTTACTACAAATACTTAAGGATAGGATAGGTTGTTGGGAGTCGAGACCAACGAACATTTGAGGAAATCAGTGGTTACCATCCTTGATACAACATACACATCTATACTTGCAAACACAAATAATGAGTGAGATGAGACATTTTATTGTTTGTCATACATTTCTGTTATTGCTATTTATTATTTTTTACAAGATGATATTTGATATCATAACTTGATTAAAGATTGTTGGTAAGGTTGTGAGTGAATATCCCAGATACTGCAAGTGTCTTTCAGTTCTAGCTGGACAGCACTCTTCATTTTGATAATGTATTTTTTTCTCTGTTATTGTCATGCAGGTTTTGTTTGTGACGGATGAACGCGCATTTTATTCCATAAAAATCATGACATTTACCAGACAATGAAAAATAGCTGTGCTCAAACATGCAAGAGAAAAACCCCTCAAATGATGAAAAGCAGCTCCATGAGCTTGCCTTGGGTTCTGATATCATTCTTCTTATTTAGCCTGATCGATTTACTTTAACTCCATTGAAGACATCACATACTCCCCCATTTGAATTTCAGTCTATAAACATTTCTCCACAGATGTCTGAGCATTATTCTATATATGTTTTTAAACCAAGTGAGTGCATCTGTCTGACTAAAGACTTTCTTATTCCCTGTGATAATTGGGGTTTAGCTCCTTCGCCATCTTTCAGGCACCTCATCAGCCTTGGCTTGAAACACAAAGTGACTCTAAACGTCTTCTGAAGACTACGATTTAATTTCTCTTTTGTTGTGGCATTTCAGTCGGTCTTTTTGGGGGGCTTTGAGGTTGGAGAGCGTCTTTCAGCTGCATAGTTTGTCGTTTTTGGCATGTCTGAGCACATTGTCTATTTACGTTTTTCCCTCGCATCACAAGTTTGGGTTTCACGGATGTTTTTAGAGCTGTAGGGGATGAGTTGGACTGTTGAGTGAAACCAATAGAGTGTTAATGTTGAACCACACAAACCAATGAAGCACTACAGAGAGGTGCTTTGAATTATAAGTAGGAAACAACTGTATTTATTATGATATCAATACATTTTTCTATATACACACAGTAATAAAAATGCAGTCTTAGTAGCACGATGAGTTGTTTACAAGTATGTCCTCTTCCACTGTTCAGGCATACGGCAAGTCTTTCACCTTGATTGCTTGAGCAAATTTGGACTTTCTTTGTGAAAAAAATAGTATTTTTTCCAACAAATTCATTTACATATGAATAAATAAATAAAACATTGCTTTGTGATCAATTACCAGTGGACAATCTGTTTAAAATAACTAAATAACTAATAACCGTGCAAATTCCCTACAACACAGACGGACAAATTCACAAAGGGGATTGTGGTGGTGGATGGCACCATCTCGTTGCTCATCACTTGCGATCTGCACCTTCTCAAGGTTCGACACAAGATCACATTGAATATTGCGCTAATGCTTTACATCGCAAACACGGCCTTTAAGTTTAGCCTTTTATTAAAATTATGCAATCATCCATCTGGCAAAGTATACCCAATGACTTTTGGCCAGGAACAGAAAACGCCATAATCACAGGAAATTCTGCGTGACATCCCTTTTTATAGATGTGCTTCAGTTAACACTCTTTGAAGAAACCAATTATTTCACTGTTTGGCTACTTGGGTCTTAATCGCGACTGTTTTTGCAATGAGGCTCATTTACATGGAGAGGTGCTAAATGTATGCATACTACCCAATTAAAAATGGTGCAAATAGCACACAGATGCTATTCGCTCTGCAGCTCAGTTAAGAGGGGGGCATTTAAAATGTTTTGGGTGATTCTTATTTTATTTGTGCTTGTTTAGCAGCCACAAATGCTGTGTATTCCTTTTGTGAATTCGCCCCTGAGTGTGTAGGTACGTTTTAAGCATGAAATGTAACAGAGCGTTCTTTAAATGGCAATACTGAAAAAAATACAAGAAAATGGTTTCACAGTAAGACAGCAAGCTGAAACAGCAAATTCAAGTAAAGCAGGATTATGTTAAATAAAATTCCCCTTAGTGTCTGTGAATGGATACTTTTACATAATCCCAATATTAAATGTAACAGGAAAACAACATATTTTCCAGGCTAAAAAGATAGCTTAAGACTGTAAAACAAGAGATCAAAACCATAAAATATGCTCCAAAAACATGTCAGTGTAAATTCATGTATACAAGTACAGTAAACTATGCAAGACGAGACTGTCCTTTTCAGTTATTCTATGTCTTTAAGGACAAATGATATACAGCCCTTAACTATGATAATATCGGAGTCACATAGACAAAACAAATATCAATGTTCTCACAATAACCACATTTGGCAACAGCAGGCAGGACTATAGGTTGCTGCCCAAATGTGCAAACCATGCCAATCAAAGCCACTGATCTGAGTCCATGATTGTACCATTAGTTCATATCTCAAAGCTTACACCTGACTTCTATGTAACAGCATTTGATTTGGGATGAAGCTCCCTCATTCTAGATTCCTTTATTGCTCCACAGATGCTCTAACCTTTACAAAAAGCTATCAGCACAAGTAAGGTAAAGAAGTATATATCTTCTACTGGCTGATATATGTCAATGCCCATGCATTGTTTGTGAATATGACTGATCTTTATGGAGCCCAATGTAAAGCTGTCCTCTTATGTGCCACAGTCTGGGGACGAACGGGATTGCTGCCTTTTGACCCAAATCTCATCGTCCTCCATTTGCTTTTGATCCTCCACGTTACCATCGATCACTACGCTCTGCTTCTCTGAGTCGAACAGCCTCACATCGTCCGGCGTCCCACTGGCCATTGGGGACTTAAGGCTCTCCTCTGTTTCTTCACTCTCCAAGGACAACGCCATGATGGAGGCCTCCAGGTTGGCCTTAGTGGACAGCGCTCTGGCTGACTGGCTGAACTCGTCATCCTCATCACTTAGGATGTCCGTCTCCTTCACATCCTCCTGGTCTTCGTATATTTCTAGGTCAAACTGTTCTTCCACCCAACGATCTGTGTCTCCGGCTAACTCGGGCTGCTGCTGCTCTGGGTCTTTGTCCTGCTGCAGCAGCTTTGCGTCGGGCTCCTGCGTTGAAGCAATGTCCTGGTCTGGCTCAACGTCAAAAACAATGTCAGTGTCTATGGTGAAACGATTGCGCACTAACTTCCTCCTGCCCAGGGTCCTGGTTGGTGCAGATGCTGCAGGATAAAACAAAAAGATAAAATAATATTAATATTCAATAATATAATATAGTTTCACTGCCAATCCAGCTCCCTCCTCTCACCACCCCCTCCCTGCTCATAATTCGATCCTCCTAGACTCCGAGCTTGGAGAATGGAGGGTTAAGAAAGGAAGTGGGAGGCAGGATGGAAAGCAAATCCCTAAGCTGGTTGGAAATACCTAAAGGAAAAACTAAGACTCCACTTTTTTTGTTCTAATGACGCCAAAGCACCCAATCTGTCAGGTAAGTAGGAACATGTTTAAAATCAGGACACTTGAATCTGTAGGGTGATTGCAGCCCAGCCTGGCATTTACCTGCTCTATTTATGGCGGGCCGGGCTCCCTTCAGGGCACAGAGGCGCTTTCCTCCAAAGGGCACATACTGCTGGTTGAGGGGTAAACTCTCTGTCTTAAGGAGCTGCCGGCGGTGCTTTTCCCTCAAGATAGAATGGACTGTCTTCAGGAAGTCTTTTCTGCTCTCTGGAGAACTGAAGGGAACAGAAGAGCACGTTATCAGTTGGTCACTCAGTAGATAGCAGCGGACAGGACAGTATCAGTGACTTCACTCTCCAGTGGTCGTCATCAGGGCAGATACTCACCTACAGCACAGCTGAAAGGTCCTCTCTGGCCTTCCCTCAGACTCAGACTTTGTGTGGACAATCTCACACATGGAAGAGCCCTCCCCATCTGAGAGAGTAAAACACAAACATGTCATCTCAAGAACAGAGCATTCCAGAAATAATTACTTCAGATGTATTTCATCACAGTACCATACATTATTTATTATGTTGTCTACCTGCGTTGGCCAAGGATCTGACTTGAAGGGCGTCAGTTGGGATCATGTGGCGGTATCTGAAGGGGTCTTTTTCTTCTGAAGATGCAGAGACCCGATGGGAGCCGACCTACAATCAGTCAGACAAAAACAAAATTAAACTATATTAGTGATCTTGCTTTTTCAACCCACTGGAGTGATTCTGAAAGTGGCACAATGGAATTGTACATTTTAAGAGGGATTTACAATGCTTAACAAAATCTGTGATATTCTAGAGGGGCTTGGGTTGTGCTGATAGCTTCTTGCTTGTGTGCAAACCTACCATTTTCTTTTTCTGCTTGGACCCGTCCTTGCATACAAAGACCACTCCTGTTTTGAACACTAGGGAGAAATGGAAAGACACATCAGTTATCACTCAAAGCTGAGATTACTTTAGTATGAGTTCCCTCCAAGATTTGGTAATGAGTAGGCCTGACATACCAAACGTAGCAATCTGGGGCTCTTTCTTCCATTTTCCTAAGGAGGCAGGGGGGTTGATCCAGGTCACACTGGTGTGAAGTAGCAGGTCCCCCATGGACAGATCAGCCACCTAGCAAAAACAACAACATATTAGAAGTCACTCTACATGTATTGTTTTTTCCCAAGAGCCCCCCCAAATGACTCCTGCTGGAAGTTGCCCCCCCACACACACACGGGGTGGGCAAAGTTTAAAAGTCTTAAAAATGCTACAACTACTGTCAAACTGGATGAATGTGAAGTATTTTGTTAAAGGAGGATGAAAGCGTAATTAAGGAGCACTATTGGAGTGACTTTGATGGTTATTGGACTCAGGATTAATTCATTTGGATTCCCGCTGTATGAAGAAATTAAAGGACAGAAAGCGGAAGTGGAAACGACTCAGAAAGGGATTTTGACGATGTGTTTATGTGGATTCAAAAGTTGTAAATAATCTACAAAATGGAGGAGACCGATCTGATCGGAGCAACTGTGACAAATAATCCAACTGAAACCGGCATGGACAATGACTATGTTTTAAAAGTGCGCTTATCCAGAAAAGCCTGGTTTGGACACTTTACGGGCAGAAGAAACATTTCTATTAAAGAAAGAATTATACATTTCTGTCTTTTTATGCCTTTAATAGCTACTAACTTGAATTTTTATTAAAATGAATTAATCAATTTTCTTATTGTAATGTAGAGACAAGGCTTTTAGTGACAATCATGTATTCGTTACAATATGTTAAAAAAAAAAAAGCCACGTGTTTCCAACCTACCTCTTTCTTTTCACCGCTCTGCTCAGTGATAAGCAGATCGAACACAGCTCCAAACTCCTCATGGATCTTTTGCATCTCGTTGATATGGCTGGCAACTTTGTTCATGGCTTTCATGGCAACTGCAGACAAACAGAAAACAACATGGTTAGCGTTGAATTGGTGTGACCGTATGCTTTCACCCTCATTCTCCACGGTCAAAGCAATTTCATCTTTTCAGAACAGGTCTTACCGTCCAGGTGGTAGTGCTCCTCGCTGTCTGGGTCTGTGAGCGAATACAGTTCCTTGAGCAGGAGGGGATACTTCAGCACCCTCTGGATGGGTTTGATCAGGTAGGATTCCAGGGTGGAGGAGTGCTGCTGCTTGGGGTTGCGCTCTTCCAGGAAAGCCTTGAAATCGGTATCGGTTTTGGCTGAAATGATCAATAAAACACTTTTTGTCCTTTCCAGAATGAATTGTTGTGTTAACTCTTTGGTTTAAACAAATACTTTTGTTCATGGTTTTTAATTCACAGTAATAAAGTTTGTATTTATATTGGAAATGGACATTGTTTGTCTAAGGTGCAGAATATTAACCAGGTTAAGTCAAAGAGACCCAACCGTTTCTTGCTCTTAGTAGTAGTCATTTTATCTAAGAACAGGCAACCACAAGTAGGCAGGTAACATACATTTAGTGCTTCAAAAGCTTTACAGCACAACAACATTGCAAACACAGAACGGTCAGTTACTAGTCAACAGATTAAAGGTAAACAAGCAGCAAACCAAGACATCAACTTGAATGTTAAAAGGGACTGGGTGTACTAGCTAGAGAACAGACTGTTCAACACTGCTGATTATATATTTGCAATAATACAGGGCTTTTTAGCCCAGGGAGCCACCAGCTTTGAAGTATGCAGAGGTCAAATGGACAAGTGTCTGGCTGACAGATTTATGGAGCCTTGCAGGATATGGCAGATGGTTGATGGATAAATACATCTTCTCCTTTGGGCCAAGGAGGAATGTTGACCCAACAGCACTTTACTCACCCTTTACGAGGACCTTGGGGACTTTGGTGTGGCTGGCGCAGAAAGCACTGTATATTTTAAAACGGTCTGCGTAGTACAGGAAAGAGCCTCCCAGGGAGAAGAGTATTTTCTGTCAAAAAGAGAAGATAAGTTACCCCACCAGTAATTACAGAAGACTTTATGGGAGTTTTAAATGCTTGTTGATGATCCTATCTTTTGGTGCATGTTACTCAAAAAGGGTATACCTTAAACTGATCCACTGTCTCCAACTTCTCTAGATCTGGAACCAGTCTGGTCCCGTCTTCCAGGGTCTTGAGAAACTCAACCTGAAACTCCACCATTTCCGCCAAGTTTCCAAACAGAACATCCAGCTAGAGGAAAAAGGTATTTGAAAAACATCAAAATCAAATCCCCTCATTACACAGTGTGTCTTCTGTAATATGTCTCAATATCTTTTTCTGGTGCATACACTAGACTAGAAGCTCTCTGCTACGGTTAGAGCATGGAAACCCTCAAATTATAAAACCAAATGTAATGTCAGTATTGCAAGTGCATTTAAAACTCCTCTACTTTTCAACCTTCCACAGTTTTGGCATTTAAAAGCCAACTACCCCTCAAAGGCTGACAGAGAGCATTTGACATACCTCATCCTGTGTGAGGAAGGTCTCTTTCTGCAGGGGGGTTAAATATCTCCCAATGAGGCAATTGAGATCCTGTAAGACAAGAAGGAATTAAGTTTGATCCAGGGTTGACTAATCATAAGGTGGAAAACAGACATGAAAAAAATGCGGCTTTGACACAAGTCTTTAATATTCCTCACTACAAACAGTGATTGAATCACAGGGAAGGTTCCTCTTGGATCAGAGATAGAGTAAATGCCTTTCTGCATACACTTCAAAAAGGGAAAGTAGCGATAAAAACCCAATCAAATAAAAGACTATTACTACAGTTACCTTGGGTGAACTGTAGAGAGCCTTTGAGATCAATTAGCAGCGCTTACAAAAAGTAGTAAATAGAGTTAATAGACCATCTAACTTCTCCAAGAAGGCTGGCTGGCACTTTAATTTAAATCTCTTATTGTTAATTAAAAATTAACTGTATGTATGTATGAAAAGAGGAGTAGCCTAAGATGTGTCTGTAATTAAGCTTGAAGGTGTAATGTTTACACTTTGAATAGAAAGAATAACATAAAACCTGTTTCAATGTGAAGTGCCTTAATCAAACCAGCATTCTGAACACCTGCTTATCAATGTGTGGGTATGAGTTGTCATGGTAACGTTGCATGCTTAAAAAGCTTATAAGAGGCATATTCATCCATGTCCAAATTGGTCAAAAAAGGAAAATATTTCAAATGTGTATAGGTAGCTTTACACAATGCCAATATGTGCCGAACATAGACTGCCACAGCTGAAACCACCAGGGATATGATAAGGTATTCGTATTACAAACACATTACTTAACATGACATTATTGATTTAAGTATAGTCCCTCTTCATTTAGTCTACCCTTATATAACATTAGCAGTTGAGCTACTGCCAACTAAGCACAGAGACATAAGACATTTCATTCTGAGTAATTAGAACAAATAGCCCAAGTTCACCAAAAAACAGACCATCCCTTTTTAATACAACATAAATCACTTTAATGTGATTGCTATAATACATATATATGAAGTGTAACATTTTAGATAGCCTTGACATTATATACCCTCTCTAACCCAGTTATTCCACAAAGCCACATTTTATACCAGGCAGAAAAGGATAAGGCAATATCCAGGCAAGGACACAGCTGTGTCCCCCTTATATCTCCTGGGACACAGAGATAAATATGGATTGTGGAATAGGTAATGCGTAGGGCTAACACAACCTGAAGCAGACAAAAACACAGATGGATGGACACACACACACACACACACACACACACACACACACACACACACACACACACACACACACACACACACACACACACACACACACACACACACACACGACTTACTTTCACATAGGTGCGTTCGGTCTCCACGAGTTCACAGATGACTTTGCGGAGTTTGTCGGCATCAGAGAGCTGTCGCTGAGTTGCAGGAGGTGGGAAGGGCGAGTCCGGGCTAGGCGAAGAGGACACACACTCCGTGGGATTCATGTCATGGAGACTGCGGCAGAAAGCGGCGACCTGCTCCGTACTCTGCAAAAAAAGGACAGAAGTGTTGAGGAAAAACTCCTACTCCCTGTGATGTAACTCCAGCCTCTAAGGAAATATCCAAAAAGAAATCAATCAGTAAAGAATCAGCACCTCAAATATAAACTTGCAGGAATCAATTTACGCCTACTGATGTGCACAGATTCATGACTGTGCAGAGAGTGAGCCTGGAGAGAGGCAGAGACGCAGTTCTAAAAAAAAAAAAATCATTTGCACTAATTTGGTCTATTTTCAGTCTGTCATAACAATGGCTCTCCACCGCTCTCTCTTTCACTCACATCCCTCTTTTCCCTGGTGTTTTCCTCCTACTGACTGATCGCTGGTTCAGAGATTCATTGCTTTTCAAAGAGTCAAGAATGTACGTACACATGCAGTATAGTATGTGTTGCCGTGGAAACCGGTGCATTAGACTATCATTCCAGACCAAAATACACCCCACTCAGCAACATCTTAAATGGCTTATTAGTTACTTTGTTTGCAACAGCCTCACCAGTCATAACAATTAAGCTGCATATAGGCTTTGTTCAATAAGAACAAAAGCAAAGCTCACTCTAATGTATTTGGAAAGAATTTAATAAATCAGACAATATTTACTTATTTGTTTCTATAAGTGGGCGACACGTGAAGATCGATCGAGAAAGCTGCAAGAAGGAAAGCAGTTTGGCAGCATGTCAGACACCACTAGCAGGTAGTGAGCGCACTACAGCGGGCTATGGTCTCTTATTATTAAAAGGATTTTTATAGACCAGGCGGAGGCAATTTGTCCTGTCACACCTACGAGCTCCTCTGGGAAATAATAATAATATAGACTCGACACAGCTGAGGAAGATGTAATGTTACCATTCTTAAAATAAACATCTTAATTGTGATCTTAGTAACTAGTCACATCAGTGTAAGCTTCTCAGGCCATCAAAACTGCTTTCGTATTAGAGTTACTGTGCATACAAATATTTAATATTCAAAAACACGTACTTTAAATGACAGAAATGTTTTCATGATGAAAACGTACCTAGATCAAAAACACTGTTACCCAGTGACAGTTGTGTATCTTATGCAGCTTTGCAAATGACACTGGTTATAATCAGCATTGTTATCTAATCAGAGAGACACATCCATATGTGAGGCACGACAGCAGTTTGTCTCTCTTATCAATGTTCCCAAAACAACCATGCAGCTTCCAGATCAACAGATGAAGTGCCATCCTGTCAGTAAATATCATTTTGCAAATGCAATTGACATCAATGCCCTTAAAGGAAATGTAGCCACATCTCTAGTAGAAGGGCGGCTGCAGTAGGCATTTCGTCCTCTTATTTAGTTTTCTGTTTTTCATTGTAAAACATGTCTGTATGCCTGTATTTGTTTCTGCAGTGGTTTATTGATGTGATGACAAACTGTACATTTAGCAAAAATAGAAGTTTAAGAGCACAAAGACGCAAAGAAGTTAGAAAAACTAAACACACGCAGCACATATCCAAATATGCAACCAAAAGAATGTAATGCAGAGAAAACTGGGGGAAAAAAATCCTTAAATGAACCTGATTTCTTCCTGCCAAAGTTAGCTAAGCAAAACCATGTGTATTTAGTCTAAGTCCAGTCATCCGATTCACATTGTACACTGAATAACACCGTGGCAGCTTGGGTGCACGGACTGCCATGACACGGCAGAATGAGGAGAAAGAACATAGAAGGGGGGAAGCTCCAAATATGACATGAAAATCAGAACATGTAGAAAAGAGAAACTGCCATGCGTTAATCTGTGGGATGCCAAAGACGAGCATTTTCCTGAGCAAGTGAAGTATAGAACAAAACCGCAAAGCATGAAAGCGCTGATGATGAAGTCAACGGAAGATAGCACATCTCCCTTCTGAAACTGAGACAAGCCAAAGATCACAGCATCGAGGTGCCAAGAGAGAAAGATATGTGCAACATTCAGAAAGCCACGTCCACAGCGGTCAGGCTGTTGTTTTTATGTCACCCAGGTGGTCTTTGGTCAGTTATATAGAGACTCAGCTCCAACGCATGCAGCGATACATTTTGGCATCCTCTGAAGCACTTCTGTGATTATGGGACAATTCTGCGACACAACAGTGACTCACTGCTTCCTCTTGTCTGTAGCAGCCAAGAGTGTGTGTGAAACAAATTCCCCTTTCTTGCTGAAAGAAAAGGTGTAACTCTCAGGGGAATACAACAGCAGCAGCAGCAAGAAGTAGTCAGATAAAGAAAACAAAAGATACAAAGAAAGGAATCTTACCAGATGGAGCATGTCAGAGATGGAGTCTGTGGAGCGCTTGCTGTGTTTGCTCCACTTCAGGACAGACATAGCCAGGTGCAGGTGGACAGTCAGTGACAGTTAAAGGTTTTGGAAAAGTCAAGTATATACTGCGCCTCTAATACATATCTCAACTGTTTTTTCTTTCCTCTGATTTTGAGAAAAAGGAGAAGGTTCTGTTGTGTTCCTTATGAAGGATGAGTGGAGCCGCTCAGCCTCCTCCTCTCCGCCCACAGACGATTACAGCCTTCCAACTCCCCTTCTTTTCACCCTCGGTCTGCTGTAGTTCTGTCACTAATATTCTGGTGTTCTCTCTCTCTCTCTCTCTCTCTCTCTCTCTCGCTCTTTCTTCTCTAAACTCAGACACACAGTGTGAGTGTGAAGATCTGGCCAACTCCAGCAGCATATTAAATGAGTCTTCATAATCCTCCAGCCTGGGGATGAGAGCGAGCGAGCGGGATGGAAGGAGTCTCCTCCTTCAGGTTGTGCTGGAGCAGGATTGGCTGGGCGAGCCACGCTGCAGTAGAATAGAAATGCAGGGGTTTTTCAGGAAAAGGGGGAGAGGGGAGCTTCAAAGGAGCAGGCTGCAGTCGAGGGTGAATACAGGAACAACCGGTGTGGGAATATTGAAGGACGAAAAGGAGTGGAAAATGTTCAGGCGTGCCAAAATGTATGTAATTAAAGTGATACGTCAAATGAAGTATGAGTTCCACGAGCCAAGACCCCAGCCCTTGTTCAGATAAGTAACTGAAGGAAACATACAGTAGCAGATATTAATGTCCTCCATCTCGCGGTCGATGCCAGGAATTATGTAACAACTCAGTCTCGTGACTTAACTGAAGTGTCCTTTCCCCCCTCAGGTATATGGGACCTCTCCAAGAATGCCTTCCGACAAAGACCAACCTCCAGAGAGTGTCAGAGGTAGGAGCGTAAAGCAGAGTCAGTACCTAGTGGTCAGTACTGATGGTCCGTGCTCTGAATGTCTGACACTAACCAATGTGACCGTCTAAATATACCGCAGACCACGTGAAGGGGACAGAAATGTATTTTTGCCAAAGGTATGTCCCAGTTCCGAAGCAGCCAACAAACATTTCTGCAGGGATAGATTTGGTTGATTATTTACTCTTTGCATTAACACGAGTTTCATTTACAGCGACTGTAAAAACAACTCCTCTGTTGCTGTCAGTCGGTGTATTTGTTGCTACATGAAGTTGAGAAAAGGATGATGCTGTGCGGCTGTCAGTCAAAGCCGAAAGGTGGATCAATTTGCAAATCATTTGTGTGATTTTGTTCTGTTATTAGTGAGGGTTTGGTACATGTCAGACATAATTACAGCATTGCAGACACAAAGCCTTCAATCTTTCACAAGTATAAAGTATTTCAGAGTGCAGCGTCTTACAGTGATTCATCAAATACTTTCAAGCCTACACAAAGGCAGAAAGAGACCCTGTAATGTCATTTATCTTCAGACATCTAGCATCAGAGGGAGAGGAGGGGCAGTGAGCGATACAAAAGAAAAAGGCACAGTGCGTTCCAGACCAACTCTTTTTCTCGATCAAATCCTTATTCCGTATCCTTATTTAAGTAAAGGATAATAATTCATATTTGCCAAAGCACTTCAATAGGAAACTGTATGTCTTTGAGATTAGTCTTTTTTGCCTATACCACTAATCATTTTTTTTAAACGTGTGTCTCTATGTTCATATAGAGTTAAAAAGCAATACACCTCCATTCACTACCTAAAGCTAATCACCACACATAATGAAACAATTAGAAGCTCATTCAAAGACCCATACATCACTACGCTGTTACTTTCAATGCAATAATCTGTCTCGAGTCCCCAAAGCATCACATGCCCTTCATTCCACTATGTAGGCGTACGTTTAGATTCTAGTCCCTTTTGATTTCCATTATGTCAGAGGCTTCACTAAGTGCAGTTACACAACGGCCATGTGTCATGAAAGGGAAATAGAAACCTCATGCAGATTTGTATTAAAAAGCTTGAAGATGAACACCTGGACATATAAATATGGACCCTGCGCAGCTTGTCTGAGAATAAAATGGGCCAGCTACAGATGGCGCGTCAAGCTGTGGTGAAACAAACTGGTTTTCATAATCACACACAGTTGAGAGGATAACATCAAAAGGCAAGGGCAAGGACAGAAGCCAGCACACCTTTTGTCCGATGTTGTGAGCAGTAATACTAAATCAAGACCAACAACAAAAGGATGCTCTTACCTTTCTGCACTCAAAATCACTGAAGATCTCCGAGTCGTCGTCCAGGCTATCTCCTGAGCTCTCGAGCAACAGACCCACCCCATCATCCAGGATCTCCTCTGCAACCAAAATAACAGTCATGCATAACAACATTTTCTTTAAAATAAGATAAATGCATCTTTAACAACCACTGAGAAATATTGTCCCTGCTATATGTCATTCATGTTATGATTGAAAACCTTTATGTTGCACTCAAGATTCACTCCACTTGCAACATTTAAACTGGTGTCACACTAGGGACACTAGCGAAAAAACAATAAAAAAGAAAGAATGAAAGCTTGAGAACTGGCAACTTTTACTGGCCAGCTGGGTTGGTAAACATTACCATCATGTGAGAAATCAAGGGACATTGGTGAGTAAGGGGATACAAAAACATGGGATGGACTAGTTTTTAAATGTCTTATGGTTTTGATGACGCTTCTCACCTTGACTCTGGGAGAAGATGTCCGTGTAGAGATCTTCCTCTGCATCTGAGCGGCGCGGCGGCAGGTAGCAGAGCTGTCGGCGCTCCACAGAAGGCAGGGTGTTTACTGTCAGAGCCAGCGAGGCCTGAGAGAAAGCTGCCTTCATGTCGGAGAAGTTGAGACTGTGGGATTCCTTTCCATTCAGCTGCAGTATTTCATCCCCTGCATTAAGACCTGCAAAGCGGGAACACGATGAGCTTGGATTCAAATGAATGCCTGTCACACATCGATGCACCGAGTGAAGTGAGTATATCCTTTCCCTAGTATGTGATTGTAACATCAATCCATATGATTTCAAGCATTGATTAACATGCCATTATAGTCATCATTAACAGAAAGAGATATCTCTTACTAAATATAAATACTAGTTTGGAGACAATGACCTTAAGATGTATTATCTTTGCCTTTCAGACCCACTCATTTGAATACCCTGAAGTGTCAAATGCTGAGATACTGCACATTTGTCACTTCCTGCAGCTCAGCCTCCCTGCATGCGCTCTGCTAGGACTCTGACCAACTCCAGCCTGATATTTTGACATCACTCATCCATGCAGTCTAACTTCACAGCAGGGGTATCGATGTGAAGCAGCTGTGGTGAGGTGCATTCAGCGCCATCCTTCACAAGCCAGTGAGAGGCAGTGTGGTTATTATTACAGTAATCATTACCCTTGAGAACAGCTGTGTTCTCCGAGGCCTCCGCTGCCTATTTCAAAACACGGCTAATGCATTTCTAAAGAGATGCCGTGAACACGTCTTGACCTTGATATGAGAGGAATGCTGTGTTTTGAAAACATAGGAAACAAACTGAAATATTGCCCAGAGCAGGCTAGATTATTTTTTTTCTACTCGTCGGTTCACTGAGACAAATTGATTGTCTTTGGAGGGAGTTCATTTCAAACAAATGAAGGGTAATGAACCTTTTGCGAAGGCCAATCCTCCCGCCTTCACATCAGTGATGTAGAGCTGTTGTACTCCATCCTCCTCCACCACTGAAATGGAGAAACCTGGAGGAGGGAAAGGCAGAATCAGAGAGGCGAGAGAGAGAGAGTGAAAAGGGGGACTCTTATATAAAACACATCAGAGGGATTTGTGCAGTACAAATGGGAACGGGAAGAAAAAAACCATACAGGTTGTGTATAGGTCAAAGAAAAGCAATTGTTTCGCTGAAAACAACACATTACATTTCGGACATTGGGTCATTACGACATCTTAACTGAAAACAAAAATCATACTATAAAATCAGTATGAATGTAAAACGCTGAATCGTTGAAATGGTTCCTACCGTATCCAATCATGCAGGATTCATCTCTGTCAAACTGGATTACTTTCGTAATTTTGGAGCAGAGCTCAATTTCTTTGTAAAGCTGTGAAGAACAAAAAGAGTTATTATATAAGTCGTGAGACATCGACTTATTTGATTAATATTCTCGTGGGATGGTTATTGTCAGCATGCAAGTAGTGTATTCTTAGAAAAGCTCTTTGCAGATACTTTATGCAAGATAGTCTGTGATATGTCATGAATACAAGATAGCAGTCACTGCAGATCTGATTATCAAAGGCTCTCCATAAATACACCTATGTTTGAGTACATGGTCGTCCAAGGCAGGGATTCCTCCAGAGGATACAAATAAAAAGTCTTTTAATAATTCACAACAAAAGGATGCTCTTATGGTCTGTGGTTTTCTCCATGTTGTGATTCCCTACACATCTAATACAATATTAGTTTTACCCTTAACATCTTGAAAAGTGTGTCAAAGGAAGTAGACAAAGATCATGTTTGAGCAGACAGTTACATACCAAGTCACACACGTCCTCTTCTGGTTTGGGGATGTAGAATTGCACTTGGTTTTCAATCAGGAACTTGAGTCGCAAGTAATGCTTGGTGGGATCGAGGTGGTGAGCCTGTGGGATGAGGAGAGACAGTTTAAAAAAAGTGGAATAACTTGTTATTGTTACACAAAGCATAGTATTGTTGCGATGAGATCTCAGCCTTATATTTTTCTTGTTAATTTACAACTGTATCAATGACGGCTCATGGTTGCATTGATTGACCATTGGGGAAAACCTATTTTAATATCAGTATTAAACAATCATGAATGTTGCAGTCCATATGTTGGCTATTATCATGTTCAAAAACACTGGATATGTCTAGTTTAATGATGTCATGAGAGCCCAGACATACTTTTAAATGTCTTCTCGTATTTCATAATACCGCTAAATCTTTGTCATACGGACATCACTGGATAGAATGTACCACAATACCTTGCAGATGGTTTCTAGAACACACAGTGCTGACTCCCCTGGCTGGATGATGGTCAGCACAGGCTGGTCATTTGGCAGACACACCCAGGAGGGGGTGAGGTGGTCCGGGACCCAGATGTCACTTTCTGTGCTCGGCCGCGGAAGGCGCGATGTTCCGTCCTCACTTTTCTTTAAACAGAAACATCAGAAAGGCTTATTTTTTGTGGGAATAAGTCAAACATACTTGTAAAATACTCAAGCAAATGTTGGGATCAAATGTGTTTACATAGTTATTTGTATTGGTCATCTCAAAGCAGCATAGTCAATTCTCCCACGGTACTTCCAATCTAGACAGCTACAGTCAGAACACCCACAGAGCCGTATCAATGCAGCCTCTGCTTGAAAACACTGAGGACTAATATTCCATTGACGTCAGTGTTCCCACTCATGTTTGACCTACACCTCGCTGTGAAGTGTATGCATACAGAAAACGATTCCTCCTTACTGTGTGTTCCTTGGAAGGATCGACATATACGCCATCTACAGAGTTTTTCGCTGGCTCCTCGCCATCAGTAAAGACCTGCTGGGACAGAAAAAGAGGGGAAGGGGTCATAACTCAAGCAGAGCAGTGGAGGATAAATGCTTGAAAAACAGGCAAAAAGATAACCTTTTTAAAGGCCAAGGCAGGTGTATTGATTGCTTTGAAACATGAAAATAACTGTAAAATATCGCAGACCTGGTTGATGCTTGGATGGGCTTTAGTTTTTTTCTTTGAGGTGGTGTCCAGACCCCACAGGGAGGAGAACCTGCTCTTGCGCTTGCTGCAGGAACGAGACATGGCCTGCGTCCTCCGTCTCACTCCGTTCTCTGCGCGAGCCGCCACCTGCAAACAGCATGAAGTCGTAGTCACATAACAATTAGATCAAAGGAAGTGTCGACAACTATCTGTTTTGCCTCATGTCAGAACACAGTTTGCAAAATTCTAATGGCAAGTATGGCAAGCATTCATTTTTACACAACATTTTCTGAACAACATAATTATTTAAAAGGAACATAGAACAAAAAAGAATCATCTTTAAAAAGGTAAATCAATAAAATAATAATGATGAAGTATAGCACATATGCCTAAAGTGGTATTTGCTAGCAGTAGGTTTTCCATGAGCGATAATACTTTTGAACAGGAAGCATTACACCAGACTGTCTCTGTAAATGATGTGTTTTAAACTGACTTATTGGGTTAAATGAATGAGGAAAAGGGGCCCGCATGATGAAGACTTATAACAGGTACAAAGCTGTCATGTATATTTCACACATGAGCACTTAGCTCATGCAGAGTTTTACTCAACCTGGCATTTCTAGGCTACTCGTTTATGAAGAAGCAAAAGTAAAAAGGCATTTTCAAATATGCTGAATTAGGCAGCAAAGCCACAGTTGATGTAGGAGTGTGTATGCTGGAAACGTAACCTCTGCACTCATTCTGTCTTTTTTGGTTTTGTCAACTTCTTTGCGCCCTGTTTAGACATAGTGCTGATACAAGTATAACTCGTAGTAGAAAGTAAAGGAGAGGCTTTAAGAGTCACAAGAAAGCCTCTTTTATTATCTTGCAGCTCTAACGCCCACCAGCTCCACAACACTGCTTTGGTGGTAACTCAGTGATCTGGAAACATGTCTCTAGAAATCCAATATCTCTCTTCCTGTACTTCCAGTGTTTTTAGCCGTGGAGCACACAACCTCAGTGGGAGGCCAAAACTAAACTAAAACTTCACAAATAGGTGTCCTGGCCTGCATGAGACCTAGGCCCTATAATAACACTGCTTTTAGTTTCAGGAATCAATTTCCCTGCCAGTCACCTTGTGTGCTTAGAGGTGACGCTCTGTATTTTGAGGGATATGCAGTATCTAAGGAATTTCTAAATATAAGGAAAATACAGGGTTTAGAGGGATCAACCTACTTCTGAGGTGACAGCCTCGGTTGGTGCTGCTAAATTATACTTCTGCTACTAATTATTCACTGATTTCAAGTAAGAATGTGTGTAGGCTCCAGCTAAATGTGTTTATAGTTAAATTGATGTAAACCTAAGATGTCAAGAAGGAGCCCATAAGCTCTAAAGCTTAGTAAATGTAATAAAATGCATAATGTCTGTATAGTGTATAATGACTACTGGACCTACTTTACCTCATGTAGATAAAAGTCTAGAATTGAACTTGTAAATTGCTTGGGATAAAAGCTTTAGCAAAATAAAATGATGACGTAATGTATAGAGGGCTTCCCATTTCCCCCATTTCCACCATTATGTCTCATGGCAGTACTTGTACTTTAACTGTTTTTGAATCAAATTGAGAGAGAGAGAGAGAGAGAGAGAGAGAGGGTTTTTACCAGTGCGTGGAAGGACGAGACAGAGAATATTCCCAGCCGGCCCATTGCCAGCTTGGTGGGGCGAGAAGCAACGGCAAGGAGGCGTTTTGGGTTGGGCAGCTCTCCGCCCTGCAGGCTGGCCAGGTAGCACCTGAAGCGGAAGAGATCCATGTGAAACTGCTCCAGGTTCTGCTCCCACAGGAAGATCTGCAGAGAGGAACAACACAGCCGAACATCAGGTTAATGGTTTGTCTTGTTTGTCAACTTCAGACCAAGGTGGAGCATCTCCTCTCCTCCCCAGGGGCTCTGTTACCACTCTGCAAGTGTTGCCAACCTGCTCTCTCTGATCCTAATGGATGGATGTTTACTGGGGCAGTAGAGCAGGACATTGTGATTATTCACTGGGCCATCCCTACCCAGTCACGGTCCTGTTCTGGAGTTTGGAAGAGGCGGCCAGTACCACGGCGGTGCCAAGTAGCCCAGAGAGGGGAAAGAAACAATACTGTGCATTCCACTGGCAGATAGAGGCTGGGAGCGTTTGAGCTTTCTAAGGAGCAGGCCTATATCCATTCAATTCTGCACAATGTGAAACCTGACACTGCCAAACAGAACCGCTCCGTTCAAGCACTACCTAACCGACCAAACAAAGACCAATTTATCTCCCTTCTCTGTAAACAGATATATCAAAAGGACAATATGAGCTTTCCAATTAATTGAAAGAATGGCAGGCTATCAACTGGTGCCAACTGCAGGCCATGTTTCAAAAACAAAAAGCAATATGGTGGCCAATAGGTGGGCAGCATCATCAGCCTTCTCTAGCGGATGATACCTCAGAGATCTGTTACTTAATCCCCACAAACCTCTCTCTGCATCTCTGTCATGTCCTGTTTTATAGCATCAGAATAACTGATACTGGATACTATTGAGAGACTAGTTTCATGTGATGCCTGTAATTAAATAGTACATAACACCAACAGGTTATTTAAATATTAATAAAGTTATTGTCACTATAGCTGTGTGAGGAAAACATCTCAGTGCTGCAGTTTAAAGTTAAAGTTGAAAAAGGAGCAGATCTCCTACTCTTTAAAAGTCAAGAGTCAACATTACAGTGCAGCTGCAGGAGGTTGATGACTAGAGCCCTTCTGTTGATATAATACTTTAGTTTTTCTATTTTTGAAGTAAATCAAGTTGAGGCTTGACTGTGACCTTTTTATCAATGCCTGTTGGCTTGTTAACTTGCTTATCAGTTCAGAAAAGTTTTAAATCCAATTAAACTGTCACAGCTGTGGTGAAAATCATTCCAACGCAAGCTATACTTTTATTCTGATTTAAAAAAAAATTATAAATGAAATATAAACTAATTTTCATACAATTGATGAGGAGATGTGTCTTCACATTTGACAAGCCATACAGATTCTATCTTATATATTGTTACGATATTTTTGGGAAATCATGCAAACACAGGTGAAGTGCTGCCTGACTGTATGCGAGACGTGGCTCAGTGAGAAAAGAGAAAACCTACCTGATCCAGGATGGTCTTCCTCTTCTTGGTGTCAGTAACGGCAGACAGCTGCATGTCACCCATCTTCTTCATCTTCTCGTCCATGTCTATCTTCTGCTCGAGCTTCTTGATTTCTGCGCGCAGCAGGCGCACCGTGTCCTCTCTGTGGTGCTGCCGGGCGACAGCAGTGGCACACGCCGAGTGGATGGCTGTGATCCAGTTCTCCAGCTCCGTCTGGCTGCACGTCTGCGTGGGGGTCAGACAGGGAAAGGTCAGAGGTTAAACAACAACTGGTTCCCGCCATTCATTATAAAAAGCCCTTTATTTAGTTTTCCTGTACTAATTCACATCTAATTATAATAGCATTCCCAGATGCAATTTAATCATCCTCTTACCTGAAACAGGAAAGCGTCTCCCAGGGAGTTGCTGAGACAGAACACAAAGTCCTTTTTGGGATGCTCTGGTACCGCCTGGACAATACTGTTCTCCACCCAGATTGCATGCTTAGGAATACTGTTGTTGTCGATGCCTGACCGCCCATCAGTCTCATAGAAGAACAGAGTGCAACCTAGAAAACAAAAACAATCAATTTTGTATTTCATATACACTGGCCCCAGTCTCTAGAAAAGATTGAAAATACTGATTATTATTATTTATGTTTTATAGAGCCATATTTGCACAAGCAATTTAATTCTGCTCTCCAGTGGCCAACATTAAGAAGTGCAGCATGGCTGACTTATCAGCAAGGGAGGTTTCATGATCATTAAGAGTTATTATCTAATTTCCAGCTCAGTAAAGTGGCATCATATTTAATAAAGAGGTTTACATCATGCTGAAATTGAAGCTTCGTTTAATAAGAAACTATAAACTGAATTTAGATTAGATCTTAAGTATTGCTGCATGAGCCACTGTATGATAGCAAAATAATAAACATCAAAAGCATTCCAAGCTGTATCAATACTGATATTATGGAATTGCATGCAAATGTTATGGACACATTGAGGGCACTACAAACCTTTCAGAGACACCCAGTAACTCTTCCACTTGCGCCTCGTGGCTGACTCTACTTTCTTGTTCTTCTTGTGCACGAGGAAGTTCTTGACGGCGAGCCTGCCAGCTTTGCGCACCATCCCCTGGGCAACACTGAGCAACACGTCTGACTGGTAGGCGGAGCTCATGGTGCTCTGCTCGTCACTCAGGGCTGACCCCGCCTCCTCCAAGCTCTCCGTCTGGCAGGAGCTCATCTCCAGTTCTTGACGAAAGTTCTCGTACACGCCCTGAACACACTCACTGGCCCCGCCGCCACCGCCGCCGCTGCTGCTGCCGCTGTCGCTGCCGGCGAACATGCTCCTGCCGGCCGTCGAGCACATGGAGAAGGAGGCCGACATGGTCTTGTAGCGTCTGGACTGGTGCTCTGCCTCCGCCGTCACCCCGTCGATGCCGCTGTCCTCGTACTCGCTGCCCTCCCCGGCTGTGACATCCTGCGACGTTGCAGAAGTACAAGACAGGTGAGACAGCATTGCAACCACGTTTTCTTCATAACTAAGAATGGAACCTGTCAACAACTCCTGCTCTCTCCTACCCACATGGCCAAAGACCTGGAAGATGAAGGGGGCTACACCGAGCTCGGTATCTCCATCTGGTCACATGACCCAATCATGCGCTCCAGAGCCCCATTCTCTAGGGCCCACGGTGCCCCGCAGTGACAGGTCCACCGCACACATTTTACTGTTCCAAGGGCCTCCCCTTATTATCATGACAAAGGCTGAGGCATTTCAAAGGGGGGAGTGACTTTAAGCTTTAACTCCCCCCCCCACTACCTCCCGTCATCGCGGACTCTTCTCCCAAGTAAAACAACAGTTTCATCAGGAAACGACACATCGGTCTCCTGACATGAGCTTTAGTTTGAAACTTAATCTATTTCAGCAGCTTACTATCTGAAAACTGAATGCAGCAGAGGAAACCCTCAGACACAATGGGAGGGAAAAAAATGGTATGAGGGGAGCCCTCTTTTTAGGGATGCCACCAGACTACATTTATATTCTGCACAGCTTTCCAAGGAGCATAAAGGAGCCATGATACTGCTTTAATAGTTCAAGTTCCTGACACTTAAAAAAAAACATGAATACATGCTTTATATTTTCATGGATGGGGCATGGAATTGGTTATTGTATCTATTAATTCTGCAAGACAATATTTGGGCATTATAGTTCAAAATAACAGCACAATGTGAAACTGCTTTTCATCTTACCTGTATAGTCTGCGCTCTCCTGCCTTGCATACTGGCACACATGGCAGCTTGGTGGCTGCTGAGGCCTTCGGAAAGGCAGTGGGAACGCCTGCAGGGGAGGGTGTATGCACTATAGGTGTTCCCTTCTTCCTCAGATGGGGAGATCATCTTATCATCATCGCCCTCCCTGATGGCCCTGTTGGTGCCGTGCCACTTGGCATAGCGGCCGTGGGGTTGCCTGCGAGTGGAGCTCTTCTGGCTGTACAGCTCATCCAGGGAGTTGGCCCTGTCAGCGGAGTCTGTGGGGCTGGACTGCAGGTGTCCTTTGCAGTCAGTAAAGTCCCTCTCGCTGGCTGGGTCTATTATCTCCTCTGTGCTGGTCAGGTGCTCCTGGCTGAGGTCAGAGAGGGAAAACTCCAGGCTGTCTTCTCGCCACATGTCTGCAGACTTAGACCTCTTCTTCTTGAAGCTTACCGTCTCATTGGAGCCGTCCCGTGTTTTCTGAAGGTACGTTACCTCGCCCATGTACTCGTCTTTGTCCTGCACCTCCTCTGCAGTGGGGCCAGGAAGGGTTACGTGCATTGTATTCATGTGCACCGAAGGATTGGTCATGTCGTTGTGAAAGGACACAGGTCGAAGGTTCATTGCCACGCGGTCCACCCAAATTGGACTTCCAAAGTCTGGGAGGATATTCGTCTCATTGAAGGGCTCCAGGCCATGGTCAGCTAGGGATTGTGGGATACTGGGGGTGCTACTTGAGCGTGTACTCGTTTCAGAGTTCCTGTGCTCTATTTTCCCTGATGAAGCATGCCGAGAGCGTCTGGACTGCTTATTGGAGATGCGAAGAGATCGAGACATGTGCTTACGTGACAAATAGCCATGTTCGTTACCGTAGAGGGCATGGTCCCCGTTCTGGCTCTCAACATTTCCCATAATTCAGAGGCTAAACAGAGGTGAAAATACAGGTTAAGTTAACTCCAAAGGAACATGATTTTATGTCTGTACAGAATGATTTGTGTGTGTGTGTATGTCAAATGACAGAATTGTGTCTGAATGTTAACTTACCTGCAGGATCGTATTGATTTTTTAGGCATTTTGTTTGTCACTGGAGCTTCAGACAGTTTGCTTGATCAGCGGCTGGTAAGCTCTATACAAAAGAAGAAAAAAGAAGAAGTCCAGATGAGAAATAATATCAAACTTGTGCCTTTGATGCAGAGTATATCTGACCAATCCGCGGACGTAACGTAATGGCTCCACGGATTGGTCCATTTGGACCAATGGGTCCATTTGGTTATGTGCACGTCACTTTACCCAGGAAGAAAACAATGGAAAAAGAGAAATGTCCAACGAGGCGTTCTGGGGCAGCATAGACAGGTATTTTCTGTGTTAGAGTTTTACTCGCTACAGGGTGTACTTTGAGGGTTTGTGACTTTGCAGACTGTTTACATGCATAAAAACCTTCATAACACACAAGGGGACGGGTAATAACCGGAAAAGCAGGACATGGGACCTTTAAGCATTCTAACTTAGATGAGGACTAAAGAAGCCACCTCCCTAATAAAGAAGGACAAATATTTCATGATTGCAGGACCAAGAGTGTATGAAGGAACACATCATATGCCTTCAATTATTATTGTACTTTTATTCCTATAACCCTATGTATTTCTACTATTTTAGTGTCACTCACAACCAGAAAAAAAGGGCCAGTTTTTGTCAAGCTTGAAAGACACCACTCTCACAGGGGAATGATCCATTCAGCCCCTTTCAACATGCAAAGGGGTTGTGTGAAGTGAAGGGGACGTAATGAAAGTATGAGCACTGTTTGTGACAGCTTGAGTGAACATGAGTTATTCAGGGCTGGAGCTGAAGCACGCAGTCTATGTAATGTTGTTGTTGTCTTTTCTCAAGAACTACCACTTGCATAAAAGACAACTGGAAGCAGGAGGTAGGGGGATAACAGCTTTTCACCATAATGCACATTTGGACTCCATTTACTTGCCTTTAGGCTGGACAGCCTGCTCCAAAATGCTATGCCTGGGACCATTAACAGATGGGACAGAAGATTAACATTGTGGCTGTTGTTCCTGCTGATGTGTGTTCCCCTCCTTGTAGGATGGACCCTTTGGGGGGTCAGTGTTTGTGCATGTGTAGCCTCTGCAGATGAGTGGGAGCCAAACCCTCTGCTAGTGCATGCACTCAGGCTTACTTTGAAGAGGGGCGTTACGTAAACTGGAGCTGACCCCGTTTCTCTACCTTGTGTTTCTCCCTTTCCCCTCTTCATTCTGCTCACTCATCAACACTGTTACTGCAATGCACAATGTTCCATGATGGAAGATTTGTTTTTCATATAACCCTGCAATTTATTTCCTGTTTCATTCAATCCTCTTTGGTATACAAATAGAGGAGGAGGAGGAGTAACAGGACTATGAAATGCCACTGCACTCATTACATGAAATTGGATTCATATAGGGAAACAAACATGCTTTAAAAAAATGCTAGCACAAACATTATACCCAGGGCTACTTTAAACTTGTTTTTACTCTTTCCCCACACAGTACCCTTCATTTTTGGATGTGTATAAGGTTAAAGTTGAATGGCTCTGCAGATGTCATCCCTGGAGAGGAACAAAATGTCCAATGTGTTTTTGCCATGATTGTCACTGAGGCCTACAGGGTTTCATAAAACTGTTAATACAATAGAGGATATTTTAGACTGGCCAACATTCAGTATTTATGGATGTAACGGCTATTTATAGGGGAGCTTTAATATGTTGCTATGCTGGATTTGCTGATGTTCTCAATGGTTTACATTTTGATTTGAAGTCAAATTGACCAGCTGTTAATTAGACTAGGGGGCTTGAGTAGCAGAAGATGTGTTTTCCTGTTACAGTTTAGGTACTTACTGTGAACCAACCTTGGATTTTACAGCACAACCCCATTTGTTCAGCCCTGAAATTAAGTGAGTGCCACAATGAACACTATTTAATACATTAAAATGGCTGATTAATTCTGAAACACTGTTTGAGTGCAACAAAACTCATATTACTGTGACTACACAAAGTTGGTCCTTTACGTTTTTCACTCAAGGGCAGTCCAATGGAAATAAGCAGCAAAGCCGCAGGAAACTACTGAGGTTTTAAGATATAACAAACACAGATATTTCAGAGAAGCTCTTAATAATACAAGTGTACGAATGAATAAGCATGCATCTTCTACATTTTGAAATACAGGGATTTGATGTTTGACGGCATTAGTGTTACCAGAATATCTGAATACAATACAACATGAAATATTTAAACACGATATTCTCTTAAGCTTCAACACTGCTGGAGCACAAAATCCATCACAAGCTCTTTATTAATACATGAGAAAAGATGCCAGGGTTTGAAAATATGTTGTAGCAGAGAAATACCTGCTAAAACAAGTTAGTAAGTCAGTGTCCCTGTCATGTATTGGTACCATCGTCCTTCATAAACTGCTAAACAAACACGGAAATTAACATTTCAACTGGAAAATGCTGCCATTAAATGGACAAAGCAGTGCCTAAGTACATGGGTAATTTCCAGCAGGCTGCTTCAGGACAGCAGAAGTTTCAGAGGATTCATTTGTTACAGGCCCTTAATGAAATACATAACCACAGGAGATTCCAGCCACCCACAGATCACAAAGAAGAATTGTTTTATTGTGCCTCAAAAATAGCAACACAACAGCTTCAGGGAAAAACACAGAATTTCCCCACCGCTAACACCACTTAGGAAGCTGCAAACGGCTATTACATAAAAACCATCACGCTGCGCTTAAATGAGCAACTGTACAAACACACTACATTAAATCCAGTTCTCATTAAGACAATTATGGTATAGCGCTTTCATTTTATTTTCACTTTCCAGAGTGTGATAACAAGAAAATGTGTACCACTTTACAATAAGACTACCCTTAAAAAGGATTTACGAATAGTTTGTAATTCATTTATTAATTAGGTTGTGAACACTATTAGACATGAGATAAACAGGGCAACTGTGACCGGTTGCTTGCCAAATAGTGAGCCCACATTTATCTGTACTGCTAAGCCTTATTACAAATGGTAGTAACTCATTAATAAATGGGAATGTGTTTTACACTTTACAACAAGGCTCCCTTTTGGCAACTATAAATGTTAGTAACTCGTAAATAAATGGGAATGTGTTTTACACTTTACAACAGGGGTGGGGAACCTCCGGCCTCCGGGCCGTATACGGCCCGCGAGACCATTTGGTACGGCCCTCGAGGTAATTTATAAACACACGCAAAAAAGAAAAAAATTCAAGAAATCTAGACCGCAAAATAATTAAACAAGCTTGTTTTTCCTGGCCAAGGTCAGGGACCTTGAACACAACACGAGCTTAACGGCCCGTCTACACTACAGGCATCAAAAAATCTTGAAGCTGGGCGTGTCTGAAGATTGGCGATTTTTTGCGAGCAACGCGACCAACAACCAATCACATGAATCTCCCGCCCCCGACATACAAAGCAATAGCAATGTTAAAACGAAGTAAACTGGATATAAACTCTCCAAACAGGCGAAAAACCTACCAGTTTCACCCACTGTCTCTGCCACCTCCCTCCATGCCTGGTTCCTCCGGTTTGTGTCCCGGTAAATAGTTCTGGTCGTAAAGAACCGGGTGATTTGCTACCATAATATCTCGTTTGGAATATGAGGAAATGAACTGCGGTCTGGCTCTCCCAGCTTGCACGCGGTTTGATTGGCTGCGCTTGCACTGGCGGGATTTGCATAAACGGGATTTGATTGGCTGATGCCAAGCATCGCGCCTCAAATTGATGCCGATAGATGCTCGTGATGCTGCAAAAGCCATGGCCTGCTCCCCCATTGCAGTTCGACGATAAGATTTTAAATCGTCTACGTCACCCCTTCAAGGAATGGCGAAGCGTTGAAGCCATTTTGATGCCTGTAGTGTAGACGGGGCCGTTACGTGTCATTAGTGTATATGTCTCGATCTGACAGGAGGTAGTTGGTAGTTCTACGGAGAGCCCCAGAACGCGGCTCCGGCCGGGACTTCACAAATTTGCACATACCATAAGGAGGTACCATGCCGCAGTTTTGCGTGCGTGTCTTTAGTTGAAAGCCAGTGGGATCTGTTTAATCTGTCATACTGCATCATACAGTCAATAAACGTGTTGTTATTAGCATTTGGTTAGCTAGCTATGCTAACGAATATAAGAAGCTTTTCTTCAACCAGGTGAGGTAAAGGCACATCTTTTATATGATCATTATAGTATAGAAAAATAAGAGAATAAAGTAAACGGGTATACAATACTAATATGGACAGTAAAAAAAAGTGGTATTAATAAACAATAATACAGTTAAAAAGGAAGGTGATTTGTAAAATATCCATAAAAGAAAAAAAATCTGCTTACTCAGTGCCGTTTCATATGGATGTCGAGAGAGTATCCCATAGATCTCTCATGTTGCTCTCAAAGTGCACAGATTGATGCTTTTAACTCAACATTTAAAAAAATCTTCCTTGGGTGCATGCCCCAAAACCCCCTTAGATGAGTAGATCCGGCCCCCCCACTTTAAATCATGTCCACTATGGATAGGGAATAAATACATTTGCACACATCTTGTTGCATGCTTCTGTTTGGTGTCATGCCCACGGGCTGAATGCCGCGGTCATGGTAAATATCGGATTAAGAGGTTGCTTTTCTTTGCCAGCATGAAAAGAAACCGAAGATGAATGGGCTGTGATGATCGGTTTAAGCAGACGTGAGTCAATAATTTGTTACGGGCCCTCGAAGATGTTGTAAAATGAAAGGCCCTTGAGAGGAAAGGTTCCCCCACCCCTGCTTACAAACAAGGCATCCCCTTTTTGGAAGTATAAAGTTAGTAACTCTATAATACATGGGTTCATAAAGGAGGATGCCAAAGGAACATCAGATGGAAGGGGAGAATTCAACTCAGTGAACAACAGATACCAAGGGTTGACTGATGAAGAAGGACAAAAGTAGCTAGTGCCAAAATATAAGGCTTAGTCTCTTGCCAATAGTGAAGCTGTGTTGATGTAGGAAACTATTGTTAGAACTGGTTTATAAATGTTTTTTAATGATTAAAAAGTGTTTAGAACTAATTATAAACTCGTAGAATCCTTTA